CGTGAGTTACCTCTCACTTTCTGAATGGACCTGCAGCCTCCTGGGACCCGTAACATGTCCTCAGGGGTTGTATAAAGAAACTAAGCAGGATTGGGCAGTAAATTTTTTTTTCCCCACCAATTACTGCCTGTTAGCTACCACCACCGCCAGAAACCCAGTCTGTGGGCATTTCTATTAGGGACCAGGAACAACAGAGCTGTGCTTGAGCTGCGTATGTGATTGCACATCTTAGGCACATGGACTCATTGGCACTGGTGTGTGGAGCAGACGCAGAGCTCAATTGCTCCCTTTCCCTCTGCTGGGGCATGCCTGTCTTGAGTGTTTTCTTATTTTTTCTTCCCTCCCCATGCATGTGTAGTGATGATGCCAGGGCCACCATTAGAAATCTTGGGGCCCCATACAGCCTACCTGACAGAGCCTTGCTCCCCTCCCCCACCTGGAGTGACTGTTTGTACTAGTGTGTGCAATGTGCAGCCACAGTACGTAGGGTCAGTGCAGGGCAGTACATAGAGGATGTGCAGAGGACAATGAGCAGTAAGAAATGGCAGTACAGAGCTGTGGAGTGTGTGGTAGGAATAGGAAAGTACAGGGCAGCAAGCAGTATGTGGTAGTAAAGAAGGGCAGGGCCATGCACACTACCTAGTGGCAGTGCAGATCACAACATGAGCTGTGTGTACTGGCAGTGAGCATTATGTAATGGCAGTGATTGGGCAGTGCAGTGTACTCAGCAATAAACAGTGGCAGGTCAGTGAACAGTATGGAGTGGAAAAGCAGCCAATGATCAGTGATTGGGAAGTCATTGAGCAGTATGTAGCAGCAGGGCAGCCAGTGAGCAGTATGTAGTGGTAAGATAGCCAGTGAGGAGTATGTAGCGGCAGGGCAGCCAGTGAGCAGTGATTGGGCAGTCCTTGAGCAGTATGTAGTGGCAGGATAGCCAGTGAGGAGTATGTAGTAGTAGGGTGGCTATTTAGTAGTATGTACTGATAGGGCTCCCAGTGAGCAATATGTAGCTCTAAGGCAGCCAGTGAGCAGTATGTAGCGGCAGGCAGCCAGTGAGCAGTGATTGGGCAGTCCTTGAGCAGTATGTAGTGGCAGGATAGCCAGTGAGGAGTATGTAGTAGTAGGGTGGCTATTTAGTAGTATGTACTGATAGGGCTCCCAGTGAGCAATATGTAGCTCTAAGGCAGCCAGTGAGCAGTATGTAGCGGCAGGGCAGCCAGTGAGCAGTGATTGGGCAGTCATTGACCAGTATAGAGTGGCAGGATAGCCAGTGAGGAGTATGTAGTAGCAGGGCACCCATTTAATAATATGTACTGATAGGGCAGCCATTGAGCAGTATATAGTGGCAGGATAACCAGTGATCAGTATGTAGCAGCAGGGCAGCCATTTAATAGTATGTACTGATAGGGCAGCCAGTGAGCAGTGATTGGGCAGTCATTGAGCAGTATATAGTGGCAGGATAACCAGTGAGCAGTATGTAGTAGCAGGGCAGCCATTTAATAGTATGTACTGATAGGGCAGCCAGTGAGCAGTATGTACTGATAGGGCAGAACAGTGGCACACGGTCAACCACACAAGCTCAGCATTTGCACCACATATCAAAATTGGCCAAAGTGTTACATGCATGCCTGGGGACAAGAGAAACTTCGTGTTAAAGAGACTACTTCTTTAAACTTCAGCTACAAAGCGTAGAGGAAGTGGGATCCTCAGGGTCAAAACATATTTTGAGGATTTGAAAATAAATGGCAAACTAAAAAGTGTCAGTTTCAGAAAAAGTTACACATAACAAATGGAGTAAGAAATAAATAACAATGCTGTATGCATACACACTTATGATGGGGCCATGACCAACGGTAGTAAGTTGGTAAATCTATTATAAGCAGCAAGAGTTCATTTATCATGGTTTATACCTCAGCTTGTGTAAGAAGTTTAAGTCACAGAATGACCAGTTTCTATAAGATATGGTCATCTAGCAAACACTAGAGCATGGCAACAATGTAACAATGTAACAATTTATTTTAGGGTCCAGTCACATTGGAACATGCATTTCACCACATAATGCAAAATGAATGGTTTGCCCTAAAAATGCAAGCTTAACCAGTGATAATGCTTTGCACTAACGCATGGCCATGACCTATCAAATAGCAATGTCAGCCCTTAGGGCTCATTCACACGGACCTTTTCTTCCTGAATGGTTAATTGCCTAGCTGTCATGCCGACTCTCAGGCTTCAGTATTTTCCAATTTCACCATTAGGGAAGTTGTGCTTTACTAAACCCAACCCCAGAATGCAGCTAACCTGGAATACTAGTCACCTTCCTCCCTGATCCAACAATATTCCCTCTCACATAGAGCCGACTGAGTCCTTTTCATACTGCGCATGCATGCTGCACCCCCAATTTCTAAGGGTGAGATGTACTTCAAGGGGCCTCTGTGAGTACAGGACATTCAGTGTCCTATAAATTATTCATAGACAGGGTCAATGTGACAGCCAGGCAACGGTTATTACAGGTTACCTTTAAAGTGTACAGAAAGTTACCAGCTCTACCATCTCACTATTTTTACACCTCCTAAATGTGCCAACTCGGCAGATAAATACAACCAGCAGCTTTTTAGATCGCACTATAATAAAAATACAATTTTGAAGAATTGCACAGAGAAAAATTTTGTTTCCAAACTATATACACATCTTAGTCTGAAGACAATACAATATTTTTTTTAAATTAATAACAGAAGAAAAATATACAACTTTCTATTATACAGAAAGGTAGTGTCATACGTTAGCACGGTTTTAGTTCAAAAGTACAGTAAATAAATGTTGATGGCCCATATATAACATTGAGCTGCGGTAAAGCACCTCCACAATGCATTGGTCACCTCCAAAACTGGTCTTGTGGTGAGTTATGATACCAAAAATGCAGCAGGTAGCCCTTTGAACCATTGTGGTGCATGAAGTTGCCCATTCAAATCAAAGGAGAAGCTACAGACAAAGGTGTGCAACACCACCTAAAATTCCCAGGACACGGAGAAAAGAGTTGGGAATTACAGAAGAGAGATCTTACTGTTAGAATATGCAAAACATTAGACACCTCCAATAGCTAATCTCTCACTTCTAGTGTATGGACGATTTCAAATTGCAACTGTGCATCATATTTATTTTATATTAATATTGATTATAGGCATAGGAAAAAAATATACATACTTTAGAAACAAATGCACAAAGCAAATGCTTAGCTTTTCAGTCTGTATAAGTTTTATAAACTTCCCCTCATTATCTATATACAGTAAGTACAAAAACCAATGTAGATAAGGGGGCAGAGCTAAGCTAGGTCCCTATCACAAGATCTCCTTTTCAACAGCTACCGTGCAGAGGAAAGCTTAAGGAAATTCTGTTGAGATAAAACCTTAAAAAAGTGTCCTCAGCAAAGAAGAGAATTCATATCTACTGCTCTCTAATCTGCACTGTATTGTAATACAGCTGCCTAGAGTCTGAGTCCTGTAGTGACAGATGGTGGCCAGCAGGAGGAACCACAGAGCACAACGGGACCAGACATCTGACACTCATGAAAGTGTCAAATTCTGAGGATTCATCAAGCTGCTGTAAAGCTGGTCATACATACAGCAAAATTAGTTCAGTAGGTGGCCCTGTTTACACCACTCTGAGTTTTTCAATCGAGAGACAGAGCTATTGGGCTAAGGACCTGGGTGGAAGATTGTCAGCTGAACAGCACCTGCATCCAGTCAGATGCAGGTACTGTTTTGACAGGTAGCTGGCTGGCCAGCTGTCAAAATACAATAGCTGCAGTGGGAGATTTGTCCATCCAACACTGTGCAGCATAGATGGAGAAATAAGTTGGATATTTTCAGTTTAGCCTGTGCATGGGTGTCAGGAGAGGTAATGTACCATCTCCCTTCTTTACAGAGGGCACTTTTTGTTTTTCACTTATGGTGTAAGCCATTGCAAAAAGTGTGCTTGGCTCCCAACTAAGGGGTGTGGTTAATTTGAATAAAAAAAATCACTGTGAATACCAGAACACCACAATATATTCCCCTATAGTGTAAAGCGCTGAGCAAACTGTTGGCGCTATATAAATCCTGTATAAATAATAATAATAATATAGGGGGCTTTCAATGAGGCTACTGTGAGGAACAAATATAAAGGCTGCTTTGCGAAAAAAATGTCACCTGCCAACTATGCCGGGAAAAAAGCTGGGTCAGTTCTCTAGAGTATGAGAAAAATCATAGGAAGTTTATGAATCACACAGGGTGACGGGATAAAAAAAACATGGTGGCTCCCGTGATTTTTAGGGTGACTGCACACATGGTATGTAGCATCTCCAAATGTATTCTTACTGCATTCTCTTGTAGAGCTTCTATCAAAGCTGGCTGTTTGTTCCATCATTTGGTGATCATTTATAGCAAATAATTAGATAATTTTAGAAACATGATTGGTTTCCCAGTGTAGTGTAGCCGATCACAATTTAACCAGGGTTTCTGAACCAGGGTTCCATGGAATCCTAAGGATCCTCCTGTATTTGTTAGGGGTTCCTTGAGCAATTTCTGTCCCTCAGCCAAGTTACGCTGACACCATTGATCTTTTCAGCTATCTGTAAGGGGGTAATTCTTCCCAATGTCCCCAACTGTAAGGAACATTTTTTCCACTGATCATCACACTAATGTATCATGAGCCGTAGATATAGTCATTATAAACAGGGGTTCCTGAGACCGAAACATTGTTTAAAAGGGTTCCTCTGTGTTGAAAGGGTTGAGAAAGGCTGCAATTTATAAAGATATGATAACATCAGGATAATGATTAATTTGACTGAAGAATATTTCTACCCTCAGTTCAACAATGTCAGAGCTGGGCCCTTTGTAGCCGTATGCCCATAACAGTCATCACTTCTACCTGTGTTACCCAACCAATGACATCTGCCGGTCAGAATCCATCCAAATGCAGTCTTTGGCTTCTTATAATTCTGGCAGTAAAGGTAACTTGTGGTGTTATCTCCAAACATCGTAGTTTGTTAGAAATCTGTAGTTGTTTAGGAGCTCATCCTGACTCAGCATGTTCTGAAATGGAGAGATTTAATGCAGATAAGAGCATTAATAACAATGTACAACTTTTTGGAGAAGGGCAAAAATAGTGTAGGACAAGGTTTTATGATCTCTATGATGGGTCTGTGTTTATGGGCTTTTGCTTGCGTCAGAACTACCTCTCTTCCATACTGATCAATGGAAGTGCAAAAGTATAATGATGCAGCTTAAAAGAAGGTAAACGACAATTAAAATGTACCATTCAATGAACTGTGAACGAGGTCAGAAGGGTGTCAAACGAATCTTAAAGTAGACGTCTAGGCAAATCCTATCTAAACTTAAACCAGCTCCTACCCCATCCAGTCACATGATTTGTCCCCAGCACCGCCTTCAGGGTAGAAGAGCTACAGTCAACAACAGATGCCCCATAGTAATCCTATGGGTGACATGATGGCATAGGCACTGCAGCTGTTGGCAGCAATCTGATCTCCCAAGTGGCCGGCTTAAGTGAAGAGGAAACTTGACCATACCAGAGAGACCAGGGAATAGTAAGTATACACATATCCTCTACAGGGTGGTTAGTAGAAGGCTTAGAATGGATTTGGATTTGACTGGACGTCTACTTTAAATGCAAATACAAAGCTCCAGATAGCAAGCTGCATATGCCCTTGACACAAGCCCTTTATCTTATCTTAAAGGCTGAGTGCCGATTCACATATATGTGGATTGGATGTAGTTTGAACTGCATCCAATCTGCAGGACATGTGAAAAAACATTGCTTCCTATGGTGCCTGTTTACATGTCCGGTGCACTGGTGGTGCAGATTCAGCGTGGTTTGAAAGAGTCCTGTACGATTTCTGAGCAGTGCCTTCAGGTTCAGGTGCAGATTACAGGCTATTGACTTCTATGGGAACCGTTTCTAAACTGCATATGTGTTAATAGGATAAGATCCTGAGCCAATCCTGTCCTGAACCTGAATTCTGCCTTTTTCACCTTTGGACCATCTGCACATTAGTGTGCCCAATGGCAAAAAAACATTTTACTTGACATATTCCCAATGATCCAAAGTTAATTTTCAATCACAACACATGACCCCAATCCCTGATGAAAGGAGCAGTTTTGAGGTTGTTTTTGCAGTCCCTGTCCCCACTACAGTGATCCACACACTGTTGTCTTGTTGACAACTATCGCTGGGACTAAAAGTGAGGAAAAATCTAAAAACATACTGTAAAGCGGTCATCAGAAAGTGAACAGAGTAGAAGTCTTTTTTTTTTTTTTTTGTGGTAATAACTAAGAGGAATTCCCTTATGCCAGCCATAGATGGATTGAAATTTGGAAGATTCAGCAAGGACCGGATGAATTTTAATCCATGCATGGGCAGGCTTGTTGTACACAAGTCAATAGAATGCAATAGTGCTGCAGGAGTGATTCTCCCATACAGATTGAGTGTGAATTTGGGAATAGTCACTTTTTTTGTTCACCCCACTGCTTAAAAAAAAAAAAAAAAAAAAAAAAAAGAAATTTATAGTGTATGGCCTGGTTTACTTTGAAGAAATATCCTCTCACTTCAGAAAGGAAGTGAAGACAAATCTCCCCAATGAAAAAAAATCCTGCATAAAAAAAATGATAGAAGTTTATACACAAAGTATTTATGTATTAAAGAACTTAAAAAATATCATAGAATACTTTCAGTATAAAGAACTGATCCAATTCGATCTACATGGTCCATACAGTGTTGCCCATTTTTTTCTATGTGGTTCTTCATTATTACCTATAGAGATACAGACTAAAGTTGGTTATACAGGTGAACCAATGGACCAGCTGAAATCTGAGCCATGAGTGGCCCTGTTGACATACTTTGCCTGACATTTGATTTTAAAAAGAAGAAGCCACACAGAAAATTGTTGGCCAAACAGTGGCTGCGTATAATCAGGTATTATGACAGTTGTGGGTACCTGATGTCAGAACACAATAGGCAACAAGGAAGATTCATCCATGAACGGTGCCACCTATAGACTAGTTACATAATGACACTTGTTGATCCTGCATAAGAAATTTGTGAGAAGCCCCCCTTTACTATAACCAACAATATATGTATATTGCGGAAATTCAAAAACAAAGTTCTCCCGAATGGGCCAACTCATAACAGTACCATTAACAGGATCCCACCTCTAAATAACAAACTTCTCATCAGTTATAGCATTCCATGGACTAGAATCCTTTCCCTGGAATACAGTAATACCCCCTGGATGGGCAATGTGACAGGGTTTTGTCTTGAAATTATTTTGCCCTTTTTTTTTTTTTTTTTATATTTTAATTTAAATTTGTATTACTTATGAACATTATGCAATGAATGAGTTGAACCCCCTGAGATAAAATCCCAAGCAGTGTTAGTTGGAAGAAAGGATTTAATACTTACAGTGAGGTTATTAATTCCTTCAGAAAAAGCCCCCATTTGCTTAACCATCCCCTCTGAATGTTCCATCTGTAAAATCAGTCAGCAGCCTCATGAATAGGAAGGAAGTTGGACGACTTTACACACAGCACTGTAACTAGCACCCATGCACCGCACACAGGACACTACAAAAAAAACTGGCACACCATCTGTTATGAAAGAAGGCAATGACGTTCATGCACAGAAGACCTGTACAATGTTATCCAATGCAAATGTACATTAGCAATGATATATCTGAATATGTCTTTATATTAGCTGCCTATAACCCAGGCAGAAGTCAGACTAGGGGAGGAAGGGAGCAGGTCTCTGAGCCTATACTGCTGTTGGGAAGAGGGATGACCTATTCAGTGTACTGCTGCTCCATTATTATTCATCTAGCAGGTAGAGGTCACTGGCCTAGCTGAGCTATCTGGCAGGGGAGACCGTGTCGGATGAACAGTATTAAAATCCTTTGGGGGTCCAAATTAAAATCTATATATAAAAGTAAATATATTACTTTGGGACTATGTACATACTGCACTTGCTGTGGAAACTGCACAGTAAATATCATAAAATGTATTCTCAGAACAAGTAGTAATATCACAAAAGCAAGTGCAACCCCATCATTTTAGATCCGAGATTTATCGCGCACAAAGTCTAATTTTTTTCTTCTTTTTTTTTTTTTTAATTCAGTTTTAGTGAGATAATGGCTTCAACATGTAATCCATATTTTCTAGTAAATGGGGTTGTACCTTTCTTGCTTTGCTGTACTTTGGTCCAGCCAGTTATTTCTAGTGATTTCCTTGGCAGTGCTAGAGCACTTCATAGAACGGCTAACCCTGTGTCTAAGGCGGACCGTACACTACACAATCGGACAATGTAGTGCAAGAGCCTGCCCGACTTGATACTAGTCAAAACAGATTGCTTCGGATGGTCCTTGTATTACAAAAAAAAAATCTGATTGTACAAAATTTCTTTGGAGAGTTACAAAATTATTAAGGAGTTAAAGAAAAAAAATAAACAAAACATGCAAAAAACATGCTGAAATGAGTTGGTCTTATGAAGGAGGACCACAGATAGATCACAAAACACAGATAACAAAAACATAAATAATATAAAGTATAAAAATTGTAAGTGTTTGAAAGAATGTTATCCAGGTAGCCAAAATAAGCATTTTGAGCTCGTTGGTAATCTACACTACATGAATGATAAATGCAATATAACTAGTCTCTCTATACAAATGGAAAATGCAATATAACTGGTCTCTCTATACAAGTGATAAATGCAATATACAGTGGGGCAAAAAAGTATTTAGTCAGCCACCAATTGTGTAAGTTCTCCCACTTAAAAAGAGGAGAGAGGCCTGTAATTGGCATCATAGGTAGACCTCAACTATGAGAGACAAAATGAGAAAAAAATCCAGACAATCACATTGGCTGATTTGGAGAGAATTTATTTGCATTATGGTGGAAAATAAGTATTTGGTCACCTACAAACAAGAAAGATTTCTGGCTCTCACAGACCTGCACCTTCTTTTTTAAGAGGCTCCTCTGTCCTGCACTCATTACCTGTATCAATGGCACCTGTTTGAACTTGCTATCAGTATAAAAGACACCTGTCCACAACCTCAGTCACACTCCAAACTCCACTATGGTGAAGACCAAAGAGCTGTCGAAGGACACCAGAATCAAAATTGTAGACCTGCACCAGGCTGGGAAGACTGAATCTGCAATAGGCAAGCAGCTTGGTGTGAACAAATCAACTGTGGGAGCAATAATTAGAAAATAGAAGACATACAAGACCACTGATAATCTCCCTCGATCTGGGGCTCCACGCAAGATCTCACCCCATGGGGTCAAAATTATCTCAAGAACGGTGAGCAAAAATCCCAGGACCACACGGGGGGACCTAGAGAATGACCTGCAGAGAGCTGGGACCAACGTAACAAAGGCTACCATCAGTAATACACTACGCCGCCAGGGACTCAGATCCTGCAGTGCCAGACGTGTCCCCCTGCTTAAGCCAGTACATGTCCGGGCCCGTCTGAAGTTTGCTAGAGAGCATTTGGATGATCCAGAAGAGGATTGGGAGAATGTCATATGGTCAGATGAAACCAAAATAAACTGTTTGGTAGAAACACAACTCGTGTTTGGAGGAGAGAGAATGCTGAGTTGCATCCAAAGAACACCATACCTACTGTGAAGTATGGAGGTGGCAACATCATGCTTTGGTGCTGTTTCTCCGCAAAGGGACCAGGACAACTGATCCATGTACATGACAGAATGAATGGGGCCATGTATCGGGAGATTGAGTGCAAACCTCCTTCCATCAGCAAGGGCATTGAAGATGAAACGTGGCTGGGTCTTCCAACATGATAATGATCCCAAACATACCACCCGGGCAATGAAGGAGTGGCTTCGTAAGAAGCATTTCAAGGTCCTGGAGTGGCCTAGCCAGTCTCCAGATCTCAACCCCATAGAAAACCATTGGAGGGAGTTGAAAGTCCGTGTTGCCAAGCAACAGCCCCAAAACATCACTGCTCTAGAGGAGATCTGCATGGAGGAATGGGCCAACATACCAGCAACAGTGTGTGCCACCCTTGTGAAGACTTACAGGAAACATTTGACCTCTGTCATTGCCAACAAAGGATATATAACAAAGTATTGAGATGAACTTTTGATATTGACCAGATACTTATTTTCCACCATAATTTGCAAATAAAATTCTTTCCAAATCAGCCAATGTGATTGTCTGGATTCTTTTTCTCATTTTGTCTCTCATAGTTGAGGTCTACCTATGATGCCAATTACAGGCCTCTCTCATCTTTTTAAGTGGGAGAACTTGCTCAATTGGTGGCTGACTAAATACTTTTTTGCCCCACTGTAACTAGTCTCTCTATACAAGTGATAAATGCAATATAACTAGTCTCTGTCTATACAAGCAGAAAATGCAATATAACTGGTATCTTTATACAAGTGATAAATGCAATATAACTAGACTCTCTATACAAATGAGAATTTTGCTTTTCTTTTATGGTTTTTATAAAATGATAAAAATTATGTTGTAAACCTTGTACATCACACAAAAATTACATACAAAAGGCTCAAACTAAGAAGCTTTATACAAGGGTAAGGCTATTTATATCACGTCATGTGACTGTATTTTCACATCTCATTGGTGTTCACTAAAAATAACTATCACTTTTTGATCTTGAAAATAAGGATCCTTCTCCTGGTGTTTTAGATTTGTGAATTAATCCTGAAATTATAGAATATAAATGCAGCGTAGTACATGGAACTTGTCAATTTGGCTACCTGATCATACTGTCCATATTCAAAGTATTTCATCTAGTCTTCCCATTGCCTAAAGTTTACTTACCAGATACAACCAATGGAGTAAATGGTGGCCTGTATGACTATTCATAATACCTCTTCAAATGTTACAAATTCTAGTGAGCCCAAGTGTGCTCACTGTGTCACCGGCACTGGCATAGTCGACCATGCAGCAATTATGGGGCTTGTTGGAGGTGGACCCAGTACCGGAGTTAGGCCTCAGGCACACTGGACGTTGTTTTGGCAGAAAAAACACTTGAAGCTTGTAAATGCGTGTAACATATTTAGGTGTGTCGAACACTTAGGCATTTATTCATTTAATTGGACAGAATAATAATTTATTTTGGCTTTTTAAACTAACCAATTAACGCCTGACAGTAAGTAGACTAGGATTTACAGAAGAGGTTGCCAACAAAAAACTCCTTATTTCACTCAGGACAAGTTACCTTTATTAAGTTGCTTTCATCTAAAGTGAGGTTATGGACCAATGTGGTTAACCTAGACTCTAGTCCTACCTTTCTCAACCCTTTTACCCCAGAGCAACCGTTGACAAAATGTTCAGGTCTCAGGGAACCCCCAGTAAAATAAGTCCATTGGGGATCATTGGGAAAATGCCCCTTACACCTACGGTGGAAAGTAGGAAGAATGCCTTGTTTGCAAGGATGTCATTCTAGCCACCTCCTGTAATCATGCTGCTGGTTCTGCCAAGTGGAATGGGACCTGGAACTACTGTATGCAGGTACCATCAGATTGGAGGTCAGTTAGGTGCAGTTCTAGGAGCCCTGGTTGAGAGAATGGCTGCTCTAGTCTAAAGTCCAACATAAATGAAGTAGTAAACTTTAGTGCAGGACTGTTTCGAAGAAGCCAACATCCATGACAATGAACAATCAGAAGATCAAAATAGCTCCAGCTTATGTGTTTTACCACTGTGACTATTGAAGCTATTACTAGGGCAAGCTATGGCTATGGCAAGCTATGGCTAAGACTTCGGCAAGTGATGACTAAACTGAATAAGTTAGAGCGGGTTTTATCATCTGTTGTTGATAAACCAAAGAGATTTTTGATGGCTCATTATAGTAGATGATAGCTTTTCAAAAGTCTATAATTTACACTGTAGAGTAGTTTAGTTGTGCAACCCACAACCCAGGACCATTTATACTTATCATTTGCCTTTGAATTTGGCCAGGCAGCACTTTTATTGAGTGTATTAATACTGAGTTTAAGACATTTTAGAAAAAATATGGAATTTGTGGCCACTAAATGGAGCTGACAATCATGGGAAATAAACATATTAGACACATTACAGGGGGTTATTTGTGATGTCTGTGAGAAGGCTTAGACATTCACAAAGCATTTTTTTTTAAGAAATAAAAGACCCCTTTGATTTGCAAGGTCTTCAAATGTCTATTTTACAAAATGCTCAGCTCCACAGTCTGCATTTACCATAACCAAAAGGACACATAAGCAGTTATTAGTAACAGATTACACATACCACCAATATGTTATGGTAACAAACATCTGGAGCCGTTCAATCTTTGGATCCCACTAAGATCCACCCAGCCATGTCCATGTTAGGGTTGCCAACTCAAAATGTATTTTACATTGATTTTTCCCCACAGACTGCATACAATTATTAATTTTAAACCCCAAACCAAAAATATTGTAAATTGCAGCTTACAAATACTTGAATGTTCTTGGGCTGAAAAAAAGTACAAAAAAATAATGTCGAATTTGCCAGAAATACAATGTGCTTTGCACTTCCTGCGAGCTTAAAAGAAAGCACAAATGATGTTCTTTTTTGTGTAAACTACTAGTCCCATCAATCCACCATAATGGAGATGGAGATGAACAAGGCTGACATGTTTGAAGTGCAGCCTGTGTGGCAACCATTGTGGCCTACATAGACACAGTGGGGAGAAAAAAAAAAAAATGCATAGACATGACAAGACAGGGTCAGGGAATACATTTTGGACGGTTGACAATCCTGGTTTAGGATGGTTGGATTAACTATACCTATGCACCACAATACATGCCGAACAGGTTAGAATGAAGTATTACAATGAAATTATACCAGAAAATGGATAGTTTACATAACTTAATAATAATGTTCATTTATTGCATCTTCAGTGAACAATCAGTAATCTAGCAGTCTTTTTTTTTTATACTGTACACGTAACATTTTCATTCGAAAACTCAATTTCTCACATACTTCTCAGACCTCAATAAAACCCAATCATCATATAACACTGCACATTGACTATTTACAGAGTTCATAATCTTAATCATATTTAAATATTAGCAGTTAAATTAGAATTTTCTTCAGAAGATAAAAATGTAGCCTCTGTATAAAATTTGTAAAGTGTCTATGATGCAACTCCAGCGCCAGGCCATGCATCATTAAAAAATTCTCAATATAGATTTACTTCTACAAAAACAAAGTCTGTCTTTTGGGTGAAGCCATGCTGGTAAAGACGGTTGGATGGTTACATGGCGATGCGTGGTTAAAGACATAGATGACAATAAGGGGTACGTATGTGGGGGAGGGGGGATGCCAAATGCGGATGCCATCAGATTAGTCTGCCCACCTGCTCCATTTTGTCAGCCTCTTTTACGGGACTGTTGTTGGGGGCCTTGACTTCACCTTTCAGGGGGCTGGCATCCACTGGGCACACATAGTCCGTTGAGTCGTCAAATTTCTTCTTGCGAAGGTGGCCAAAGTTGGACAGTCCAAGCTTCTTTGGCTGAAAATGCAACAGAGTCAATGACTGAAATGGCAGAACATACCTTGAACATATAAAATATATATTAGATGTAATCTCAATAAGAATGGTTTGTGCAGACTTCAAGTGGAAGTCCAAGGGGTGAGAATGTGGTGTGTGTATAGATTGGTTTGGGAGAGCTCAGGGAAGAGGGATGAGATAGTGTTATTTCACAGCACTGGTCTCCAGATGCGGCCCTTTGCTAGCCTTCATCCGGGCTTGGGGCACTTTCCACTGATACCAGGCACTATTCTTCTAACTGACACCAACAGTGGGACACTATTCCTCCCACTGACAAAAATGATGGGACACCCTTCCTCCCACTGACAACAAATGATGGAACACCCTTCCTCCACTGACACCAATGATGGGACACCCTTCCTCCCACTGACAAATGATGGAACACCCTTCCTCCCACTGACACCAATGATGGGACACCCTTCCTCCCACTGACACCAATGATGGGACACCCTTCCTCCGACTGACACCAATGATGGGACACCATTCCTCCGACTGACACCAAATGATGGGACACCTTCCTCCCACTGACACCAATGATGGGACATTATTCCTCCCACTGACACTGATGGGGCACTATTTCTCCCACTGACACCAATGATGGGACGCCATTCCTCCCACTGACACCAATGATGAGACACTATTCCTACCACTGACTCCAACAATGCAGCACTATTCCTACCATTGACATCAACCATGGGACATTATTCCTCCCACGGATACCAAGGATGCGGCATTATTCCTCCCGCTAATACAAATAATGGGGCACAGTTTCTCCTCCTACTGACTACAGGCGTTATTTTTTTTTTTGTCTACTCCCACTGGTCCCAATCTGGCTACACATACAATCTGAAGTAAACTGGCCATTTGTTACGTTTGGGGACCACTGGCTTACAGCAAGCTAAACCTGTGTTTTAAAGCATGTGGTCATATACAAAATACTTCTATTCACCCCAGTTTTGTACACATTAACACACCTACATGTACTATTAAAGAATATCTACTACAATACAACTACCTCAGCATTAGCCTCTTGTAGTCCTTTGCACAGCAAGAGTCACCTGGGAGAGCTAGGGGCAGCACTGTAAAGCTGGCCATACAGCAAACAGGGAAGAATAAGAAAAATCTATCGACTCCCCCATTCATGCTACACAGTGTCGATGGACGGATCTTCCCTACTGGCCATTGTATTCTGACAGCCAGCATTTACAGCTGTCAGAAGACCCAAACAGTAGCTGCATCCGTCTGGATGAAGTGACTGTTCAGCCTACAGTTTTCTGCCTGGTTCTTTCAATTTCCAGATTGAATGATGTTGAGTGGCAGGTGCCAACAGGACCACCTATGGCTCAAAGTTTTGCCAGTTCATCAGGAGCTGGCCAAAATTGGCTCAGTGCATGGCCAGCTTGAAGCAGTATTACGCTATTCTGGCATCCTTTCTTGCAGCTCTTGATGAGCCTACCACCCACAGAGCCATATTAGGAGGAGGTGAGAGGTGCTGCATTCTACTGAGGATCCAGAGGGGAACCCATACCAGGGTGTAGATGTCCATAAGAGAATCCAGCTGACCTACTGAGAAATTGTGTTCTCAAATGCGTAATGTTATTGTGCATCTGGTGAGTGCGCAATTTTATTATTTATATATCATCAGAAGATAGAAAAAGGATCACCTCTATCTGAGATCTCATATTGGAACTTCACGTTTATTATCATTTAAAGATACGGACTTTGTCACTTTATCAGCACTAGTAATCACTTTAAAGAGGATTATTCACAGTGTGTCACTTTATATATTTGTCAGCATTGATTTACCTGTCACATCAATTAGCACTATCTTCACTTTAATAACAAAAGTTGAAGAGTAACATTATTATTGATTCTCGTTGTTTTTTTGGATGTATTGCACTTTATTGCATTATTGAGTTCATATTGATTTCAGCGCTGCACCTTTGTTCTGTTACATGGCCAGCTCAAGCCAATTACCCTAGTACATTGTACAGGACACACAGAATACAGAACACGGGTACCACGTACAGGACACAGGAGAAAACCGCAGGTCTGTTCTCAGTGTTGTTGTCCTTTTACTAGCCAATCACATTCTGGGGAGGTCCTTCACCAAGCTGTACTACATTAAGTGCAGTGGGGAACAGTGAGGTCAGAACCCAGCAGTGCTGTTTTTGGGATAGATAACTGCTGATCTTTCCCAGCACACAGTAAACTTCACACTTGCATATTTCAGCTGTGAATTTAGCTGGTTACCTTCACATCCACTTTAATTACCCCCATGATGTGGTTATATATTGCCAGTAGAACATTATCTCTTAATTGTTAACAAATGTATTCCTAGAACTCTTTTTGCTATAATTGGAAGCAGAGATGCAGCTACATTCCACTGTGCACTAATGCAAAAAAGCAATCTAATTAGGTTCATTCATGAAAATAAATCTACCATTCACACAATGGCTGCAAAATATTACCCGTGTGTGAGTAGGAAGGCTTCTTTTTACTACTAAACACATCATAATGACACCTTCGCTGGTGCAGGGGGGGGAAGAAATTTCTGAATAAAGGCACAGCTGGACCGTTTACAGCAATGGGCCCAGTGATAATTGCTGTGTGTTACCTCTGATTCTATGCCATTCAATAAAACACAATAACTATAGGTTTTGTATAACAAGCTCAAATGTGGTTCTATCTGCTGAAAAGGGAGTGCTGTGGTGCGTCCACAGCATTCTATAGACAGTTGGACCCTACGGAGTAGATTTACTAAAACTGGAGAGTGCAAAATCCAGTACAGCTGTGTATGGTAGCCAATCGGCTTCCAACTTCAGCTTGTTCAATTAAGCTTTGACAATAAAACCTGGAAGCTGATTGGTTTCTATGTACAGCTGCATCCAGGGGTGGAATGACAACTCATGGGGCCCCTGGGCAATAGGGGATCATGGGGCCCCTGTGTCCTTGCCCAAACTCAAAAAAGCCTATGAAAAAGGTACCAGGGGCATCTCATGGGGCCCCCTACTGACCCCGGGCCCTCGGGCAGTGCCTGAGTTTCTAAATGGTCAGTCCGCCCCTTGCTGCATCAGATCTTGCACTCTCCAGTTTTAGTAAAATGAACCCTTATAAGGAGATTAACATTAAACAAATTAATTTCGTTAATAAGAATAAAAAAACAAAATCATAAATATGAGAATAAAGATAGATTTTGACTTGCTACTATGTGTGCTTGTTAAAGCTCATTGATCTTTGCTCTATTAAACCTGGGTTGTCATATTGTCTGTAGGGGTTCTACAAATCTGCCAATTTCCAATGTTCCCCTGATAACCACAAACTTGGGGCTGTTAAAAAAACAAACAAACAAAAAAACACAACATACTACCCAAAGCTAGCTTAACCTTTCTAGCACTACATGTCGTCCAGCTGGTCAGTGAGGTTGGCTATGACATGTGGTAGCCAATATGGAGGTGGCAAATGAAAGGTCAGCTCATGACCATGCTAGGTCTGGTTGACATGTGCATATCAGAGTACTCTGGGAGTTAAATGCCAATGCATTTTGGCAGGACATTCCAGCATCTAGTTTATCCATTAGGGCTCATGCACACTGGGCATTTGAATCTCTCCTCTGAATGCCTTTTACTCCTGGCAGGAAAAAGCAGCTTAAAAGCCTTTGAGTATTTATGGATTCCATTTGCCAGAATATTATTTATTCTGGCCATTGGAATGAATGAATGCTCCAGTGCTAAAATGTGTTTAGCTTTTAGGCGCATTCAGGCGCGTCAAGCATTTTTTTCCACCCAAAAAGCTCCTTTTCTGGTGATTTTTTTTTTAGTCCGTAAATGTTCCTATTCTAATATGCCTGTAAATAACTATATGTGCATGCATTTTTTTTTTTTCCGCCTATAAAATCACCTCTATGTTAGCCTAACACCTGTAAAGAGACAACACAAGTACAACTTAAAGCAGAAGCTTAGGTATGGCAAGGTTTTACATTGCTTGGACCAATGTAAGTATGTGCCATACCTGTGGGATCCCCATGGAAGCTGGAAATCCTTGTAGTAGGCATTGCTTATACAGTGATTGCTGCTAGCTTCTAGGTCCCATGTGGAGTAGCTACCTACTACTTAGTGAACATGGGGGTTGACTCACTTGGCACGGGCTTCATTCAGAGAACACTGCATTTTCTTAGTGTATGTCCCTGACTGGACAACATGGAGATTGTGATGTCACCACCCACCTTTCCACCTCTTCAAAAAAGGAATCACATTATACAAAAGTGTTCCCTGAATGGTGCTCGTACCAAATGAGCAGCCTCTTGGCACAAGACCTAGAAGCTAGTGGAGATCACTGGAGTAGCAGTGACTATTACAGTGGTTTCCAGCTTCCACTGGGGATCTCACAGGTATGGTACCTGCTTATTTACATTAGAGGCTGGACCAATGTAACCATGTAAAAATATCCATACCTGGAATTCAGCTCTAATTTAACTGATACATTCAGAATCACACTAGTAAAGTACTGGGATTTATAAGAATTACACACCCGGACTTTGGCAGTCGTGGACAGAGGTGAGTAGGTTGTGGAATCCATAATCTCTCTTTTTTCCTGTTGAGCTTCTCGGCCAATCAGCAAGCTGAAGTTAGTGGCTAGATGTCTCCTGAGTAGAGTCTTCTGCGGCGGAATGTTTAAGAGCATGGCGAGGGTATCCGAATTAAAGCGAGGTTCTAGTATCTGTGGAGACAGAACCATCTATTCATCGGCTGAGACTATGCCATGAATAATTAATGACTTACTCATTCTCTCTTACAGATTCTTTTAACAAATTAAGCCGGGGGGGGGGGGGGGGGGCTGGGGAGTAGACTTGTTAATCAAAGAGAACTTCCTAGAACACTAGATGAGCTTTTTTGTCACTCAGCATAAAAAAAAATAAATAAATAATCAGTTTTTTCTGAACAAGGGAATAACAAGGTCCCGAAGGGCAGAACATGTGACTGGCTATGAAGTCCAATAGCACAGGGGGTGGAATACTTTTTGGCTGCATCCATCTATGGAACATCAGGATCCTGCAAATTATATGTGGGACCATTAAAGTATAACTGCACACAAACCAATAGGTCTTCTGTTTATCTCCTTAAATGTGATTTGCCAATTGTTAATGTTTTTAGGATAACTCCAACTGTTACGTCTACACTTAGAGGCGCTTCTATGCTTTTTTCCATTTTCTCACCAGTGTTTTCCCCTTCCAGCAGGAAAGATACAGGAATCATGAATATTGAAAAACGATTTGACTATGCATTACTGCAGTTCAAACATTAGCGTCAACTGATCCATGGCTGTGGGAGCGGAGATGGTGGCGTCCAGCAGCTGACAATATATTTTGTATGCAGGAGAATAGGACACCAATCAGGGAAAACAATTATAGAGGTATTTGAGCTACTAAACAATTAAAAAAACATGCTAAAAATGCAAGGCAAAAGCTTGAAGACAGGGTCTCTTTTAAAAACCGTAAGCAAGATCAGTTCTCTTATCGTGTAAAAGGGATCAAGTGATTTGAATACTGAAAAGGAGTTACTGCACAGATTTATAAAGCAAATTGAAAATAAAAAATCCCTTTCTTACAATGAGTCCTCCGTGAACACCGCTGCCCCGAAGATTTGGTGCGTATTCAGCCAGATCTACAGATCGCAGCCACTCCATGACTCTGTGGTTGGACCACTGGACCACTTCTGAAGGGGAGATATTATTCTGTCCGGGTGATAGACACAGATGTAATTATTGTGGAAAGAAATCAGAGTCAAGAATACAATCTTTATTTTTAAAGGATAAGTTCACCTTTTATTAAAAATAAATAAATAGAAGCTCATATTTTTTCTAATTAAAAAATGTGCATTTATTATATTTTAAACAGGAGCCTGCAAAGTATTGCACCTACAGTCAGCAGGTCGCAGTTGCGATTTCAAGCTTCTGAACACTATCTCCTGCTTTCAGCCTGGACCTGTACAGGATGTCAGTTTGCAAACTGGAGGCAGTATGAATGGACTACCCATTCAAACTACAAGTTTGTCTGCTGGGGTGGCAGACGGGGCTTGTAGTTTTCACATTCACAGATTCCTGTGAAAAAAATGACAGGGCTGTGCAGGCAATTGTGGGAGTAGAAAACCCCGCTCGCTGTCATGGGGAAGGGCGGTGAGAAAGTTGCTGAACATGTTACACCCCAAGTAGGGGTGTAACATGTAACATGTTCAGAAGGGGTGTAACATGTTCAGAAGGGGAACTTTGATTTATTGAATATTTCACCTTTTTAAAAGCCATTTGCTAACTAGCCACTAGAGGCAGCAAACACACAATTTTCAATCACAGCTCTAGTGGCTGATTCTGAAGGCCAAGGGTCCATGGAACCTTGGTTGAAAAAGGCTGATCTAATATAACAGTGCACTGAATTTATATTTATTCAGGCAGGCCCTTGTACTACATAATAGTTAGTAGATCTAAAAGATTGTACAATCGGAGTGTAATATGTAGAGCCAGCTTTACATGTACCAAAACAGAAAGACCTATCTAGACCAGTGGTCTCTAAACTGTGGCCCAGGGGGGCGAATGTGGCCTTTTGCTTACCTTTGTTCGGCCCTTGGAACACCATTTCTCCCACTGATACAAGACACTATTCCTCCCAAAGACACCAACAATGGGGCACTATTCTTCTGATAGACACCAACAATGGGGCACTATTCTTCTGATAGACACCAACATTGGGGCACTATTCTTCCGATAGACACCAACATTGGGGCACTATTCTTCCGATAGACACCAACAATGGGGCACTATTCTTCCGATAGACACCAACAATGGGGCACTATTCTTCCGATAGACACCAACAATGGGGCACTATTCTTCCAATGGACACAAACAATGGGGCACTATTCTTCTGATAGACACCAACAGAGGGGCACTATTCTTCTGACGGACACCAACAATGGGGCACTATTCTTCCCCCTATTACCAAAGATGGGGCACGGTTTACTCTTCCTGATGTCAGGACAATTTCTACTCCCACTGGTCACAGTCTGGCCCCCCCTAAAGCCTAAAAGGACAGTAAATTGGTCCTAGTCTAGATCAGGGGTCTCTAAACTTTCTAAACAACAATTCAACTCTTATCCAATCAGGCAGGCCCTTGCACTAGTTATTTGTTGGTAGATCTTAAGGTTTTTGTACAGTTGGATCTTTATATGTCTGGTGAGCTTAAATTGTAGCTATGAAATTAAAAAAACATTGAAAAGGCTATGCATTTCCCCTAGAGTGATCGTAAAACCCCAATTTTTTCAGCAGCTGATTTAATTAATTATTGAGTAGCTTCTTAAATTTTTTAAATTTGCCTATGTTCTAGCTTACGCTGGTGCCATGACTGCTGCACCAGGTTTCCGGTTTCAGGGTGGCTTTTTTCTCTTGCAGCACCCTATGGAGTTACCCTTGCATGCAGGGACTAGAGGTATGTTTCCCTACACTGTGTGCATCAAGAGAAACACAGCCTGGTAGCCTAGGGTGGCAAGCCACTCCCTTCCTTCCTTCTCCAAGCTAACAAACTGGCTCAAGACTGCACTGTCCACTGTTAACTCTTTCCTGTGAAGACCAGATGCTCAGGGAAGCAGCACAGAGAGTAAAAGTAGCAGCAATGAAAGTTGTGAATGGCAACTGCTGGGGTAAGTTCCTGTAAAATATTTTACAGAGACTGTTTATTTTATTGTGTTCTATGTGTTAAGCCAAAACAAAACAAAACAAATAAAAAAAGAACAGCCGATGATTTAAGAATACTTTAGAAAACACTCATACCTCGTCAGCAGGCCTCCGGCGCAGGCAGTTCGGGTTGAACTTATTTGCATGTAAAACATGAATGGCACATTTAATACTGAGATGGTGCAGTTGGCTGGTCACTTTCAGGAACAGGAGATCATTCTAGAACACAGAAGAGCAAATATCACCAAAAAGAAACATGGGGTTCATTTATCAACAAGCGTACCCCTTTTATTTATATAGCACCATCATTTACTACGGTACCTTGCAGCTGTGTGTAAATTAAACATACACAGCTTGGGGACGATATAAAATGATAATAGCATAGAACAGGTGGTTTAATTTTTGTTTAAGCCTCTTAACCCCTTCCTGCCTGCCACAGTGTCCCTTTGTTCAGATCCCAAACACCATCTGGGCATTGAGAACTTTTTTAGACACTCTAAGGGCTTGGTTACATTTCAGGTTGGGGTGGGGTATAGGTGGTTTTACAGCCTTTCGACCATCCACCTTAAAATAACATGGTGGCCAAATGAAGTTTTACACATGCTTCAGCAAAACTATACCACCTCTCATGTCTGGCAGGCAGTACCACCACTGAACCTGACCCATTAAGGATAATGGGGCAGTATTCCCACTCCTGTGGGATCACTTTTCAGAGATTGCCACAAGTAGCTCTAAACCACGCTACACAATTAAACCAGGTTTAGATGCGGTTTACAAGCAGGAACATCAAAACAGAAGGAAAAGGTGTTTTGGGCAGCATAAAGTTGTCCCCAATTACTTTGATGCATTTTATAAAAGCTAAATGTAGATGTGTGAGTGTGCTAAGGCCTATAAAGCCAAACACATTTTTGGCTATACTTTTTTTTGGTCTCGGGAGTATATTTTCCAATGTGCTCTTGTAACCTGAAGTGAGTCAATAGTGGGGTATTGCCCACTAGGAGCTGATGGGGCAGAGCTGAGAAGCAGTCAAATAAAATCATGACAACACTGTTGGGATCACCCTGGGCTGATTGACAGCTGGCTCTGCCTTTCAGCATGCCTCAGAGAGCCAGCAGTGCCCACCCCCTCCACAGTCTGTCACTCCCAATCAGGGCAAGAGCAGCAGACAGGGGAGGGAGAAGTCCCAGCAGAGGCGCCACTAGAAGCTGTCCATCAGCGACCACATGATCTGTCAGCTCTCGGTTGTAGAGCCAATGTGGGGCAGCTGCAGTGTCAGGAGGACAGGAATGTATGTTCATTTTCTTTTTAGGACTCCAAACTTCTCCTTTAAATCAGATACGTTGTTGCACATCTTTTAATGTCGAAAAAAATTCACTTTTTTATACACACACACACACACACACACACACACACACGTACAAACATATTGTGATATGGGGGGATTCTTCGCTCAATGGTAGATGCGTTTTTTGTGAGTTCACGCCAGACAGGAACTAAGCTTAAGGGCCTGTTAGCCCACTTTTATGAAACAGTAACTGAAAAGTCCTTTCAACACAAGGTTTCCCACGCAGGGGGTTTCAACTTCACTCAAAATAATATACAGTGAAAATGCAGAGCCACCTGGCTCTCTGGTTAGCATTACCTCTGCTTGGCTTGGTCTCCCAGACCACTGACTATTCAGGCTCTCTCCTTGCTGTTCAGGCCCCACATGGCCTCTTGACAGAATTTTCCCTGTACCTCAGCTTGCTTCCTCTAGAGCAGCGGTTCTCAACCTGTGGTTAGCGACCCCTTTGGGGGTCAAACGACCCTTTCACAGGGGTCGCCTAAGACCATTGGAAAACACATATTTCCAATGGTCTTAGGAACCGAGACATCGCTCCTCGATCAGTCTCTAGGCGGGTCCACCCATATGCAGATACGCCCACATACGAGTAAGAGAACAGTCAGCAGTGATGACATCTGACCCCTCTGCCCCAGCCTATCATCTTCCACAACATCCGCCCTGCCCATTGTCTGCACTGCTCCCCCAATCATCGCTGAGTGGCAACATCATCCCCAGCTCTAAATGCGGGGCGGGGCTTATCAGGATTAAACTAGAACTTGACCAACCAGACGAGGTGACGCGTCAACGAGAAGCGCCAGTGAAGAAGTTTTGATGTCCTCAGATTGGACGTGGTCCCTGTCAGGGAGCCGGCTAGCTGGGGACTGGGTGGAGGAGGGGGCAGAGCGGATCCAAGATGGCGGTGGTTTGGAGGTGAGAGCGGGCAGTGTGTGAAGACAGCTGGCTGCTCTGTATGGTAGGGATGGGGGAGGTGTGACGCCTTGTATGGCAGGAATGAGAAGAGCTGCTGCAGTTATGAAGTAGCAACGAAAATAATTTTATGGTTGGGGATCACCACAACATGAGAAACTGTATTAAAGGGTCACGGCATTAGGAAGGTTGAGAACCACTGCTCTAGAAACTCACAGATTCCCTCCAGCTCCTTGGACTCATTGGCCTCTGCAGCTTCCTCAGCCTCCCAGACCCTCTCTTGGTCTCCCAGACTCTTGTAGCTGGCCAGACTTTCCCAGTCCTTGCGCCCAGAATCCCTCTCACAAGGGTTGTAGTCTCGACCAGGAGCTTCCAGCTCTCCTGACAGAGCTCTCGCTTCAGGCTTGTAGCAATAGCAACTGCTATTCCACCTCCACCACTTTTGAGCTATGCTCAGATCTGCCTTATAATGAGTGTGTGAACCTGGACACACACCCTGCCGAACTTCTGAAAAACCTGGATACAAGACTGAAGACTCCATCCCACCCAATACTCTTTGGATCCTTCGAGCTTACAGCCCTGATCCAGACTTACCAAATCCAGGGAAAGCTTAAAACATAGCTTTCTCTGCTCACAAAACATTTGCTGGAACCGCCTCAACTGACTGTTTGAGAGTCCTGTGTCCTTCTCAAACTCATTTCCATAGTGACAGAGCCTCGCACTGTCACAATATATATACACACACTTTTCATAGAGTCACACCAGCAAGTTGTATCCACAGCAATTCCTTTTCCCGGGGTGACAATGGTTACACTGTTCAGTGTCAGTGTTGTCACCCTTTCCTGCCTACATCTGAACTGAACTACAAGCAGCTGCGTCAATGCACAGCGCGCCGGCATGTTCATACAAAGATTGTACAGGGTGTGCACACTCCACAGAGAAAATACATGGACAAATTTGGGACAAATAGAGAAGTATAGCCAAAACTATTTTGGCTATACTTCTCCTGGGGATTATGGAGATGCAGTTCGTTCTGCACTCCTGTGACCCATTTTCAGCCAGTCCAGGCACAGGAGGGATCCAGACTCGGATGCCTGGACCGACAACTGGCCCAGCTTCTCAACAAGCCACTGAAAGCCTGAAAATACAAACTTTCATATGAATGTTCGTACAAATGTTTGTTTGAAAATCTACTAGTGTATTACCAGTTTAATGGGTATGAAACTTCAGGTTCTTGGTGCTCCTTGTGCCTTCCCGTTCTGGTGGCCTCTCCTCTTTCTCATTTTTATGTTGTTATAGTGATAACAAAATGATCAAAAATCTCCCAAAACCTTACAAGGGATCCAACTCTCCCCTACTGAATCCAAATATAAAAATAAAATAATTGACTGGTGTTGGGTTTATTTAACCACTTCCAGTCAGGACACGTTCACCCCCTTCCTGTCCAGGCCAATTTTCAGCTTTCAGTGCTATCACACGTTGAAGGACAATTGCACGGTCATGCAACACTGTACCCATATGAATTTTTTAGCATTTTTTTGAGACAGATAAAGCTTTATTTTGGTGGTATTTATTCACCACGGGGATTTTTATTTTTTTTGCTATGTAAATAAAAACTTTTAAAACTTTGAAAAAAAAGAGTTTTTCTTATAACATTTTGCACATAAATAGTATTTCATCATAAATCTTGGCCAAAATGTGTTCCGTCTTGGCCAAAAAAAAAAAAAAAAAAAAAAAAAAAAAAAAAAAAAAAAAACACAACCCAAATTAGTTTATAACCAAAATTATAAAATTTTTAAACTTTTACATTTGTTTTATATTAATGTTTTTTTTTTTTTTTTTTTTTTTTTTTTTTTACATACTGTCAGCCTAGCAGTACAGTGTCACCATGGTGACACTGTACTACTTGTGGGGGGTGATGAAGATTGTTTTGTTTTTTGTTTTTTTACACTGCTTTTACACCCATAAAGGCTGTAAAAGCAATCATTTCTCCTTCTCTCTGGCTGCATTCTTGCAGCCACTGAGAACTACTGTGTGAGCCGTGATTGGTCACAGCTTGTCACATGGTACAAGGCTGTTATGATTGGGCCTGTACTATGTGACCTCTGATCGTTCACAGATTTCACACGTAGTAAGCAATGATGTCACAAGTGACATCATTTCTTACTACTCTGCATGTGATCACTGATTGGCCAATCAGTGATCACATGATCGGGACCTCGCACAGAGGTCCCGCCTGACAATTGGTGTTCCACTGTGTCCGGAGGACACAGCGGGCACCGGATCGCGGTGCTGCGCGCTCCCAGGGAGCGCGCACAAGCAGGGTGCGGGAGGCCGTTTATAAACGGCCACCTGACCCTGCACTGCCACCGTATGGCCGTTTATATACATGGTACATGGGCCGGACAGGAGGTGGTTAACGCAAGTGCATATTTGTCTCTTGAAACAAATGTATGTTGTCTCTTTGCAACCGTATACATTTATTCCCGAGTTTAAACTCTTCATTTGCACTCTTGTGGCTTGCTACCTATCAGCAGGCATAGGGGGGGCTCAAAATAATTAATGGGGTAAAGCCCAGCATAATCTTCACAGGAACAATGTTCAAGGTAGGACTTGAAAGTTTCTATGGACAACTTAGTTGGAAGCACAAAGATCTTCCTTCAACTATTCCCTACAAGATAATGCAGAACGCTCATTGCTAGACTGCTCACTCCAAGACACAGCTGTTCCTTCTTAACTCAATCCAATTAAAGTTAATAAAAAGTCATTTATATTTTGTCCAATGTGATATTTAGAAAATAAATTGCCTCCGATTCCACTTTAAATTCTGCTGGCACGACTTCAAGTTTATTTTGCAAGCTCTGAGAAAAGCATTTGAACTTCCTCTTTCACATTTTCTTGCCTGTATGAAGCTTGTTTATTGGATTACCACGTGTCTATTTTAGCACTTAAGCCTTGATTTCCTCCCCCCTGGAATGGCCCCTTCACTGAACCAGGCCGGAGCACCTGTCCCCGGATCCCGTCAGGAAAGGATCGCTTTCTGTCTCCAGCACTCAGGTTCTTCATTACACGTTGCCAGGCAAAATATTTACACTGGCAAGGACAGACTCCTACGGTGCCACAAATAGAACAGACAACCATTTACTTCTCCCCGAGAAGAGAAATAGTGATAGTTCTACAGCTCACAGACATTCAAAAACCTCTAAAAAAAAACAAAAATAAAAAAATACATATCAACAAATGACTCTACCCAATGAAGTGTTCTAATTCCTAATCACAGTAGCCCATATCAGCCAATCAGAATGCACCTTGTACTGGGTCAGATTCCATAGAATTCCCTTTGATTGGTTTCTCAGATTTATTGCTGGGAATTACATCATTTCGTAAGGCCACAAGGATGGAGATTTTTTATATGATCTCTCTCACAGATAGATTTTTTTTTTTTAAATGTTTTTTCTATGTCCAAAACGATGCAATAGCATTTTAGTATATATAAAAGATATACAAAGGTTGGAACGCATTTTGTAACCTAAATGATTTCAAATTAATCCATCACTAGCCCCCTAGATTGTAAGCTCCAAGGAGCAGGGCCCTCCTTTCCCTCTTGTATTGAACTGTATTGTCTCCCATTATATTGTAAAGCGCTGAGCAAACTGTTGGCGCTATATAAATCCTGTATTATAATAATAATGATCAATAGCAAGCATAAGGTCACCTACACTTGCATCACATTTAAAGTGAATCTGTGTTCTAACCATACAGTGGAAAACATACGTTACAATAAATATATGCTTTAAAATCAGCATAAGCCCCCATATGGATAAAAAAAGAAAGAAAAAAAAAAAAAAAAAAAAAAACCGCCACGTTGGTTGACCAATAGAAATTGTTGTCATGCATATTACTTCAGCCCTTTGTGAGTATGAATTTGGCTTTTTTTGGTTTCTCTCAATAAACCTTGGGTAATGACCCAGTGTGACTGGAGACAGGACAGTTTATACATACATAAACAATCTGTACTGATCTGATTTTGTGCTTCGTGAGATCCAAGGTTTGTTTCTACCACACAGTAGGGTGAAACTGCTTTACCTGTTGGTGCCCTTTAAAAGGCAGTACAAAAAAAAGGCTCTCGCCCTTCCTCATGGCCATTCAAGTTAGTTCTTCTGCAAAAGCCAATAAAGAAACCGTGCAGAAATGCATTTTCTGTATCCTTGTGCGGTTTTTGGTTTGTCTAATGAAGTGGGAATGGCTTTAATAGTAAATGAGCGAGGCTTAATAAAAGTTAGGTTTTGAAGCAGAAGCGAGGTGGCTTCTCATGGGATGGTCCTGGGGACAATACATGTTGTGTTTCTGCAGCATAGCAGCTGTCTTAAGCTGCCCAAGCACTGTAGAGACTTGTGGCTCGTGCAAGCTTGACCCCACTGCCTACATGGTAAAAAAAAATCCTGCAAAAGCACTCCATAAATTTATATGCTCAACTGGGATTATATATATTTATTTGCACCAATAGGCGCATGAGGATTAGTAGAGAAAAGGCTTGAAGATGCTGCTGCTTTTTCAGAGGGTACAAAAAAATACAATCTGACCACTGTTAGATGGGTAAACTAAGCTCTTGAGAACAAGAGGATGGATGTCAATTATGTATACAGCCTACTGCAGTTCCTGAATCAAGCTATTTGCCCATCTGAAACAAACTTGCTACAAGTGGTGAAATGGGAACTACTTCAGGGTGGGTGATAACATAAAAACTAAAATTTTCCAAGATAAGATGATTGATCTTTTAACAATTAAAAGCTTACATGGGGATCAGATGCATCCAAAAAAGTCAACAACCTCTTCAACATATGTCTAAAAACAAAATGGAACCCAGGCAGCTTACCACAGTTAGGTACTGTAGCATTCTTCCATCCACGCGAGCATCATGGAATTGATCCTTGTATTGCGGCAGGCCAATATCATCGAGCCACCCTGTCAGTGTAAAATATAAAAGTCGTAATTACTTAAAGAAAACCCATTATACGCCAAGCTTTATGGTCTAGAGAAGATCTAAAGCACTTACGTGTCACCCACACATAGTCTAGTTGCCCTGATTTGTCGTCCTTTTTTGTGTTGATGGAATTAATAGCTAGCTGAAGCTTCTTTCTGTGCAAAGGATGCTTGATGCCGACTTCCTTTATTAAGAAAAAAAAAATATTAAAGTGCAGGCAGTCCTTTACGTGGCTATAAGGCTCCATGCACACGGGGCGTTTTAATAACGCTGGTAACGTTAGCTGTGTAAAGTCACATTAAAAATGTGAGTTTTTCAGTGTTTTTGCATTAGCGGTTATCCACGTTTTTAGCATTTTTACCAAGAAATTTTTTTTTTTTTATGCTCACAAAGTCCAAAAAACACTGTTTTGCCGCGTCTTACAGCGTTAGAATGTTTTTACAGCTAAAAATATATATATATATATATATATATATATATATATATATATATATATATATATCTCTAGAATCCACTAGTTCTGGGGTTTTTTTCCAGCCAAAAAAACATTGGATTACAGTCTATGTGCGCATGGACACATAGGATAACATGCTGAGGAGTTTACTAGCTGTAGAAAAAACCGCCAAAAGCCAAAAACAGCCGCTGTAAAAATGTCCAGTGTGCATGAGGACTAATACTGGTCATAGGATATCAAACTTATTTTGTATAGAAAACAGCAATGTGAACTATGATATGACTGCCTATCATCTTTCATTATAATTACATGGAAAATATAGGGTACTTTCAGTGAGCACATGTTAAATTATTGTTGCTTTGGATCCCGTAAATAATGAACCCCTTAAAAAGAGACATAACAATACTTGCCTGTCTTGCAGTTTTGTAGAGCCAAGCTGGCCAAACATTCTTCAGCATCTAACACACTTGTGAAAGTGACAGATTCCTGCGTCTTCCACTATGCATTGTGGTTCCACATTCTGCTGTGTCCCTGCAGAGCTGTAGTGCCATAGTAGCAAGTGGGTGAAACCGCTGCATGCAGTGGGGGGGGTGCAAACATCTGGCACACCCAGAGTGTTGGATGCAGAAGATTCCTTGGCTGCTGCAGCTCTGAAAGTCATGGCACCAGTAGAGGTTAGTATTATCCCAATTATCCCCGAGCAGCAGATGTTAAATAAAATAAATCTTTTTCTGTCATTGCTGGCTGTAGCTCCACCCCACCTACAGCATAAAAATATTAGCATGTCCATGGACGGAGGGAAGTTACAACAAGCACTAAGCCCCCCTACCCTTTCCATTCTGCAATGCCATGTCTCCTTATCTCCACTTTAGTTTATTCAGAGCCTGGAGCTGCAGCCGGCTTTTCAGGGGAGAGAATGGAAACTGTCAGCTTGTTTTTTTGGAGGATTGAAGCTGGAGAAAAAAAGGCTTGCATTCACAAAACCACAATCTGACAACAAAAACTAGGCACTGCATTAGGTTGTTTCGGAGAAGTGTAGTAGCTGCTGTGTTGTCACCGTATGTTTTTGTGAATGAAATCCCCTTCTTTAGCTGCAATTGTTCATGACACAAGCTGTAATGGACCGCCTGACAGCACCTCTATCAATCCCCTGGCAGAGCCTCCCCAGAGTGCGGAGTCTAAGCACCAGAGCACTTGTTCACCAGGGCCCCTAATGGTGGGGATGGACTTGGAGCGTTCCGGTACCAGGTCGCAGCTGCTAGGTATCTCCAACAGGGGTAGAGGAGTCTGACAGGAGCTCCAGGGGGCTAAGAGTCTGATGTGAGGGAGCCTAGTGATCCCTGCGGGATGGATGAGCTAAATCAGAGTCATACAGGCCGGGTCGGTAACTTGCGGGTCGGTGGAGGTACAAAACGGTAGGCAAAGGATAGTCGGGTCACACGCAGGGTCAATACCAAAAGATCAGATTTAAAGGGGAACATCCAGGAGCAGAGTCAGGCAGGCCAATGGTCAGGACAGGAGAAGGCAGCAAGGTCAAACAATCCAGATCAAGATACTCACAACACAGGTAACAGCATACAAAGACCATTCGGCAACAAGTGTTTGTGCAGAGCTGGTTTAAATAGCCCGCCCTGCACCTGACAGGTGCCACCTAGGTCCTAGTGCCTGCCTAGTACTGTCAAGACGACGGGTGCGCCTGGGTCCTAGTACCCTGCCACCTACGCCTGTGTAGACCCATGCGTCGCAATGGTCCCTGACACAAGCTGACAGCTTCCACTCTCTTTGTGCCTGAATAGCAGGCTGCAGCTTCAGTTCCAGCCTCGGTGTTAAACAACTAGGATTAGGAGGCACACAACAAATATACATTACATTCCTTCTAAATTACTTTCTCACCTTTTCTAGAAGCTGAGGTGTAGCCGTTAGCAAGGTATGACCTGAGTTCACCCATTGTCTTGCAAATATGACGTACTGTCCCAGACCAAAGTCTTCCAGCCAGTTGCAGACCTGCTCATTATTCCACTGAGCAAAAGGAGCATTATAATCACTGCCAATACAAAGCATAATTGTGGATTAGGATTACCACAGATGAAAATAAAAATGTGCCTCGATTTACAGTTCCATCTGTAAAGGGAATGGCAGGATGACATTCAAAAGCTCAGCGAGAGTGTCAGCCGCTTGACACCTCCTCTATTCAGAAAATGTCTAGTATTCTTTTCAAGAAAGTGTTTTGTGAATGGAAGAGGAACAGATAAGCGACAATCTCCCCTCTACCAGGTTTTAAATCCTGTGTCTGCATCTCCACAAAGGGAGATTTGCCTTCATTTTTGTCCGACATCTGCCATCTGAACTGGAAGTACAGGAGAATCTTCTTCATGAGGACAAAGACAACAATAAAATCCTGACAGACCCCCTGCCTTGGGGGTTTCTTTTTGAGAGAACTCTAACTTAGTACTTGGTGTTCAAATTCAGTTGATCACAATGACAGGAAACCATTGGGCCTCTTGGCTAGGTGGACCAGACTGCCTTGTCCCCGTCAGGAGTCTTGCACCCTGAGGGGGCAGGGAAGGGTCTTTCCTCCTTGGTAGAGGACCATATTACACACCCTAGTGTATTTTTTTTTTTTTATGTGTGTGTTCACATGCACTTTTTTTGGTCCACTTTGGTGTTTGGATTTTGCACTGCAAGCTCATAAAAAGAAAAAAATTGGGAGGGATTTCCCTCGCTTCCTAAAATAGACAGGAAATGGGGAGATATCTCTCCATTAGGGAAACTGTTCTAAAAAGCTGACAGCGAATCTAACACTATGGAAATATGGGGATTAGTCTCAAGTGAGAGCTCTCCATGGCTCAACACAAAACCGTTTTGTTCTGAAGAAGGAGGTATAGCCCCCGAAAAGCGTCAACTGGTTAACAATGTTCATTTGTGTTTGTATATAATTGTGTTGAAGGCCTTTCGGTTCTGGAGCTCATGTACAAAAGTTCTGTCTGTAGAGGGAATGGCAGGATGCCATTCAAAAGCTCAGCGATCCTGTCAGCTGCTTGACACCTCCTCTATTCAGAAAATGTCTAGTATTCTTTTCAAGAAAGTGTGAATGGAAGAGGAACAGATAAGCGAAAATCTCCCCTCCTCCAATCACAGAACATCTTGTAATCTATGAAAAGAATGCAAGACATTTTTTGAATGTAGGAGGTGAAGAGCGAGCGATCCACTATCACCTGTGTACATGATCTGGAAGTGCAAGTCTCAGCAGCTGAATTAAATAGGTTTTCCCAAATAAAGCAGAAGCCACACACTTCATTAGTGGCAATTTATTTTTTACAGTGCAAATTTCCAAAAACAGTTTTTGGCCTGAGGTTTCTGGCTACTGCCTGGTCCATGCCTTTATTATATTTGTTATAGATTTAAATTTACTTAATATACAAATACTTTTCGCTTAGGGGAAATGCAACTCCTGCTCTCACACTCCAGTGCCCTGTGCTGGTATGGAAGGGTAATATCTACACTCCTCAAAGACGATGTCTGTACACAGTTGTATTGCAGAAGAATAGTGGGGGCATGTCTGACCAGATCAACTCGAGTGCAAAATCAGCACAACAGCTGTAACATGAAAGTGGAGCTAAGAGGTTGTTAGTCTATCTTAAAGAATATTTCTGTGAATTCAGTTGGGCTTTAAAAACAGACCTTTATTCCCCCTTTACCGTACAACCAGAACCTATATATTTATGGTTTACATTTCTGGGAAAACATTGCCTGAATTCTCGCCTATGAGAAAATGACATATGTATTACCCGCAGCCTCCTGGGATATACGTCATACATCCCAGGAGGCTGTGGGGTATTCTAGCGTGCATATGCTGCACATCAGGGGAAACAGCATATTTTTCCTGGTTTTTGCAGTCAGGCCCCTGATGATGCACTGCAAAAACATGAAAAAAAAATGGCTGTCTAAACACGTCACAGAAGAAAATGGTGGCATGGGACCCAGTGTGCTGCAGTGGAGAAGCAGATCCCTACAGAACACCTGAATGTACGAGTGTGTTTTTGGTGGACAACCCATTGAAAAAAGGGAAACATGGGGTGTGCAGCCTTCATATGTAATGAAGAAATGTGGCTGCCCCCATTTCAAAACAAACAGTGAAAATAATTAATTATATTATGATGTCAATTAAATCTAAAGGCAAAAAAAAAAAAAAAAAAAAAAAAAACACAAACGCAAACTGGCTAGCAGGTCCAATTCTGCTAGCAGATCAGACTTTTCTGTGGTTCTTTTGCCAGAAAACTCCTTCACAGGTCTGCTAACACATTTTGTTTAAAGTGCCTGGACTACAAGCATAGATCTGCATACAACAGCTGGGCTAGGTACTAGGATGATGAACCTCCAGCTTGCATGCATGGGATTTACATCATTAGCAGTCTCCCAACACATGAAGAGAGAAGAGGTCTAAACAAGAAGGAGAGACCAAAAGATAATAGGGGCAGTGGACTGAGTGGCAAGGAGTGGACTTGCATTGCTAGACGAGATAAAATTAGGGGGTACAAGTATTCCAGATGATGGAAAATGCATTGGGGCCCCCTGTGGCTTTAATTATCCTCTACATAGTATATAGTAAAGTTTTTCAATAGTAAGAGATATATCGAGCGTGTATATGGAGCTCACCTATTTTTGGTTCGGGGATCCTTGGATCTAGCAAGTCTTGGTCCTGCAGTTGCGCGCATTCCTCCTCTTTTAAATTCAGAAAGTCCAAGCTCATCTGCATTAAAGTGTCCTGATGGGGTTCTCCGTAATCTGAAAAGGAAATTCACAATGAGCAAGATTTTCCTTTGTACATCCTTACGCGTCTTATTTTTTTTCATCAACAAAGCAGATTTAATTGTTGTTTGCCATATTTTGGTAGTGTATTGGTTAAAGACCACACTACACTATCAAAGTGCCTCTGATTAACCCCAAATAAAGTTCAGCTGTTCTAGGAGGTCTTTCCTGACATTTTCTTAGTCGCAAAAGCCATGGTACGCAGAGAGCTAACAGTCAGGTGAAGGGTGCAAAAGAATTTCCAAGGCAGTAGATATACCATGGAACACAGTGAAGTTAGTCATCATCAAGGGGAGAAAATATGGCACAACAGTGACATCACCAAGAACTGAACGTCACTCCAAAATTGATGAAGACGAGAAGAAAACTGGTCTGGGAGGCTGTCAAGAGGCCTACAGCAACATTAATGGAGCTGCAGGAATATCTGGCAAGTACTGGCTGTGTGGTACATGTGACAACAATCTCCCATATTCTTCATATGTCTGGGCTATGGGGTAGAGTGGAAAGACGGAAGCCTTTTCTTATGAAGAAAAACATCCAAGCTCAGATAGATTTTGCAAAAACACATCCGAAGTCTCCCAAAAGCATGTGGGAAAAGGTGTTCTGGTCTGATGAAACCAAGGTTGAACTTTTTGGCCATAATTCCAAAACATATCTTTGGCACAAAAACAACACTGCACATCACCAAAAGAACACCATACCCACAGTGAAGAATGGTGGTGGTGGCATCGTGCTTTGGGGACGTTTTTCTTCAGCTGGAATTGGGGCCTTAGTCAAGGTAGAGGGAATTATGAACAGTTCCAAATATCAGTCAATATTGGCACAAAACCTTCAGGTTTCTGCTAGAAAGCTGAACATGAAGAGGAACGTCATCTTTCAGCATGACAACGACCCAAAGCATACATCCAAATCACCATAGGAATGGCTTCACCAGTAGAAGATTAAAGTTTTGGAGCCCAGACCTGAATCTGATCGAAAATCTGTGTGGTGATCTGAAGAGGGCTGTGCGCAGGAGATGGCCTCGCAATCTGACAGATTTGGAGGGTTTTTGCAAGGAAGAATGGGCAAATATTGCCAAGTCAAGATGTGCCATGCTGATAGACACATACCCAAAAAGACTGTGTGCTGGAATCAAATCAAAAGGTGCTTCAACAAAGTATTAGTTTAAGGGTGTGCACACTTATGCAGCCATATTATTTTAGTTTTTTATTTTTACTTCCCTCAGTTTGTTGTTCAACTGAGTTGTACAGTTTATAGGTCACATTAAAAAGGTGGAAAATGTTCTGAAATTATTTATCTGTCTCATTTTTTTTACATGAGAGGAACCTGACATTTTAACAGGGGTGTGTAGACTTTTGATATCCACTGTATATGGTGTCACGTCATTATCTTTTGGTAAGCCAGACCAATTAAAGCTGAACTCAAGCCTTCCTTTAAGTCTTGCACAGCTGTACAGGATCCCCCCCTGTACGAAATAGCTTACTCTGATTTCACTGCACACTGTTACAGAAATGTATTCATTAACTTTATGATCATTCAATCTAAAATTTCCCACATGATGTGTGTTGTTGAAAGTCAAGATGCCCTATTCAAATCGAGATAGGATGGGTCACAGGGAAGATCCTGTACAAGCAGAAAGTAGAGGAAAACAATTAAAAACCTACTTTCCCCAAAACTTTTTGATGCCTTTTGGACTTTTCTTGCCATCAGGAGATAATGGTGAGTGTGGGACGGAGTCCGTGCCAGAGAGGTCATTAAATGTGATGTCCAGATTGTTCTCAGTATCACCTGTGTAGAGAGATTATTTATTAGTACATTAACTGCAGAAGCCTTAAAACTAAATTTCCAATAATTTTAGTTTCATGTTAATGCACAATTTGTCATTGCATGCCACTGAGATTAATCATTTGTTTTCCTTCTCAGGAACTGTACTAAACATCTGTTTACATGGAAAACAAAAAAAAAAAAAAAAAAACCCACAAAAAAACAAAAAAAAACAAAAAAGAAACTGTCCATCATAGCAACTCTGTCCTCTCTTCAAGCTCCCATGCCTGGTTTGAGTACATGCACCTACTTCTGAGGGACAGCTTGCTCCTACACATATCTATACTATCAGTAGATGTTCTTCCATATAACAGAACATACTGCTGTCATTCTATCCTTCTACGAAGTACAATTCCCTATATGTATGCTTTCATGTTAGTCCTGTATAATATATTATTTAGGTCTGTTGGTAATGGATCTGCCAGACATTTAGAATATTATAACAATTTTTTTTTTTGACTCCTAAAAGGTGCAGTTATATTTTTAAGTAGCCTATCACTTTAAAGCTGAACTCCAGGTAAATATAAAATACACAGCTTATTGCAGCTCTAATATATCATTTATTTTAAATTCCAAGCCCCTGAATTTGACCTAGTATCAGCCTCTCGTAGTCTATGTACAGCAGAGCACAGACTGGAGCAGGGGAGAAGCTGCACAAGGAGCCAGTCAGTTGTGCTGCAGTACAAGAAATATGCTGATAGGAGCAGAGAGCAGAGTGACAGAGCAATGAACTCATCAGTCTGCTGCTTCTCCTTTTACTCTAATTATAGGGGGGGTGGGGAGAAGACCTGAAAATATTATTTGAGCAAAGAATAAAAAATCAGATCTCATGTCCTTGTAGTCATGAATGTGCTGTGTAGCTAAACTGTTTAAATTTCATGACTGGATGGACAGAAATAAAATTCCTTCAGAAGGAAAAACAACTTCCATATTTCCCGTATTTAGTCTGTCTTTAGCCATTTGCCTGAAGTTTAGCTTTAATAAGTTCTTTACACACGGGACCATGTAGCCTTGTATTTCCCAGGAAGATTTTTTACTGACCCTTAAGGGAGAAATGTCTGGCTGGAGAAAACCGAGAGACTGCCAATAACTCCTTGTTAAGTGAAAGCCAACACCTAGCTTAAAGAGATGAGTCTTCGTCATGTCTACGGTAAGGAAACAAGTACCAATGGCACCAAATGGCAGTCAGTGGGGTGAACAAGGACACGAAAACGCTAAATAAAAACTACTCAAACCCAAATTTTCAATCTGGTTAAAATATTTTAAAGCTCCGTTAGCTTTTTATCTTGTTTTCAGCAAATAATAGTTTTTCATTAAAGTGCATCTAAAACTTTTTTTTTTTTTTAATTTAAGTTGAATATAACACAGAAGGGTTCACCACCACGCCAGTCTCCACCAGGAAGATTTACCCTCTATTTGTGTCCTGGTCACCCATTGTCATCAGGACTGAAAGTAAAAGAAAATACAAAATTTTGAATTTTTACTGGAACAGGAATAGAGGGGAAGCCTTATAATGGGGGTCGTGACAATCATTTAGATGACTATACTCAACAAGGGTTCTATGGAACGCTAGGGTTCCTCCAAGGATTGCCAGGTGGTCCCTGAGCGGTGACTACTTAACCTCCAATTTGATGTAGCCTTTTTAATTCCAGGCACAAAGCCACTTGACAAAGCCAACTGTAGGACATCAATATTCATTTTAAGTGTCTGTGTGGTGGCATTCTTCCCATTAACCACCAATACTTCCCAGTGACCACCAATGTAAAGGGCATCCTTCTCACTGACCCGCAGATTAATTCATTTTAGCAGGGGTTCCTCGAGACCTGAAAATAATTTTAAGGGTTCCTGTTCATGAGCGGGTGAAACGCATTAGTTGGGTGTGGTTCGGGAGTAGACAGAGCTGAAGCCTTTCTTGACATTCACAGGGTTGGGCAATGCTCCAGTGTGCACTTCTGTTCTTAACTGCCCATTTCGGTTTACCCCTTTGTGTCACAAGGAAAGGAAGCAAGGGTGCTTAGTCCCAATGGTAACAAGGACGGCAATAAAGATTCTGCTTTAACCATTCCCCCGCTTTGCAAACTCCTGCCAAATCTTCTCCTTTTTTATAGACAGAACATGCACATGTTATTGGAGTCTTGGCAGGGGTTAATATTCTGGTAAGAACTCGTTATGTATAAAATTGGTGTTTTAAACAGTTTTACATTCCTGTCCATCATTGGACTCATTCCCTGGCTCTACTACAAAGGGCTACAGATAGGAACAGCAGCCTGTATAGAGAAGTGAATGACACAAAAGTCATTTGATAGGTGAAAAGGATGGGGGAATTCTCCAGCCTCGTGTTACATGCTGTAATTAAAGCCCCCATTGCCTAATGGGTTTTATTATTCCTGAAATTTGTAAGAATGGAGGGATTTTCAAGAATGCTGTTGAAAGATGTGGGGAGTGGTGGAGGGAGGTGTAGAGTCATTACAATGTAATAGTCTTCTTAACACAATCTCTTTGCAGAGATACAGGCTGATGGGGCTAATCCACACAGGTGATTGTGCTACTAATATCACCAGTGATCAGCCTTAATCGGTAGCATCAGATTGCTGCACAGAATGTGGACTGCAGTTATAATTAATAATTGCCTAGTACTCCAAATGTGTGTGATTAATTGCTACTGCATGCAACCTCATGAGCAGTAATCTCAAACTATTGTTTGCATGCCATCGATACCACAAACAAATTTGCCCTGTGCTTTCAGTGGAAAGCTTGTAATAGATTGCAGGATTTTCAGCCAATTCCTGCTAAATTAGATAAAACTGGAGCCATAACCCATATGGCAGAAAAATATATTTAAAAAATATCCTTACCAAATATATTGACATATATTTGAAATGCTACAATTTTGACCATATTCAATATATTTCAATAAATATACACACACACACACACACACACACACACCTTGTTGAAATTAGTTTTTATAACAAAATATATGAAAATATTTTTAAAAATACATAACTTTTTTATATGTTAAAAAAAATCTGAATATATTTAACTTTTTTTTAAATATATTATTCAGATTATTCTGCAATATATATTTATATATATATATAAGAAATATATTGCATATGGCCAAAATTGTAGCATTTCAAACATATGGCAATATATTTGGGAAGAATATTTTTAACATATATTCCAAATATATTTTTCTTCCATGTGGGAAATGGCGCAGTATGCAGGCTTGACAAAATGGATAAAAAATAACCTGTTCCAGGTGGAATATTATTGGCCAAGCAATGAATGCCCCAAGTCAGATGCACTGTCCACTTTCTTCATTGGATGTTTTACTTCGTATATTGCCTATATCTTAACATTCACTAATTCAATCAAGACAACTGAAGTTCATGCAACAAGTTTGCTGTTATTATGTGATCTAGATTGTGGTATATACTCATGCATATATCTAGATATACTAGATATATTTTTTTCATCTTTAGGACTATGTTTTTTGATGATTACTGCAGCCCTGATGAAGGGGGGGGGGGTTGCCCCCGAAACATGCTGGCTCTTTTTATATATAAAATGATTTTGGACTGTTATCCGGTTGTGGTCTGGTGCTCCTTTCTGTATTTCTATGGTTTGACCTATTAGGTGCAGCTTTGGTTCCAGTATTCAGGCAGCAGCAAATGCTGAGGCTGCTGAAACACAATACCCAGCAGTGGAGATTTTCTCATCCACTATGTTTAGAGTGGATGGCGAAATTAACTAATCTCTCATTTAGCCCCTGTGTATGGCTGCCTTAAAGTAGAATTCTAGGCTCTAACTAAAGCTGGCCATAGATTATGCGATATTCTTTCCTGAAACCACGGGTTGTAGGAATGAAAATCACTCAATTTCCCCATCAACACAGATGGAATCCCTTCCTGCGGAGCGATTGTATTTTCCCGCCTGAGAGGTGTGGGAGAGGGGGCTGGGAAGCTATCCCTGCCAGAAGAACAGTGATTGCTGCTGGCAATAATCAGATAAAAAAATCCAACAGGCTGGTTGTACCAAAGTTGTACAACAATCAACCAGCCCATAGATGGTTCGAATCTCAGCCGGTTCCTGCTGAACCGGCTGAGATTTGAACCATCTATGGCTGCCTTAGGCCTAAAACACCCTTACCCCACTTCCTACTCCTATAATAACCACCCTGTAGAAGGTGCTTACACTTATTCTCAGGGCACTCCAATCCAGTGACATGATCCTCCCAGCGGCCACTGGCTAGCTTTAGGGAAGAAGAGAGTGCAAACAATGGGTGGAATGCTTGGGGAGGGACATCACCCATAGGCTTACTATGGGGCATTCATTGTTGGCTGTCCCTCCTCTCCCCTGAAGCCGGCCGCTGGGAGCTAATCATTTGACTGGGCCGGAGCACCCTGACACTAAGCAAATATTCTCCAAGGTAGTTAGAATAGGAATTAGAAGTTGATTGGGAGATGGTTCAAGCTAAATTAGTTAGAGCCTGGACTTCCAATTCAAGTCTCAGCATTTTGCCTCCAAGCAGATCTGCCTCTGATGCCAGAACATGTAGCAGCATTTTTCCAAGTTGGTTTCCCATCAGTGCTCAGGTAGTGTTCAGGGACTACCAAAGCAATGAAGCAGCTTGCAACAGAAGGTGATAAAGTCTACAGGAGAGATATATAAGCAAGTAAAAAACAGACAACTTGGTGCCATATACCCTTCTCCTACCCAGCATGTCACTTCTTCATGTGGACCAAGATCAGGGGTCTCCAAACTTTCTAAGCAAATAGCCAGTTTACGGTCCTTCAGGCTTTAGGGGGACCAGATTGTGGCCAGTGGGAGTAGAAAATGCCCTGGCATGAGTGCACCATCTTTGGTTCTAATGGGAGGAAGAGTTTGCCATTGCTGATATCAAGAAGAAGAATAGTGCCTCATTGATGGTGTCAGTAGGGGGAATGGTGCTCCACCATCGGTGACAGTTGGTGGAATAGTGCCCCAAGGGCCACATAAAGGCAAGCAAAGGGCCACATCTGGCCCCTGGGCTGTAGTTTGGAGGCCACTGACCTAGAGGACTACACCATGGCCCTGAAAATAAGTCAGGTGGCAGATTGAAAATGTAGGAAAGATTCCTAAAGAAAGCCTCTGCCACTCAGGTGCTGATTAAATCCCTTCTTTTATAGTGGTCTGTAATATGGGCCTGTTACATGGACTGTGTTCATCATAACACCACTGGTGCACCAGTGCCTAGATCAGCATGGTATGAGGTGGCAGCACCTTTCTAACCTCAAAAGTGTGTTCTCCTTTCCCACTTTTGACCAGATCTGGACATTTTGGTTAAAATCAGTGAATGGCCCATTCTGAGAAATGTGGGCGGGTAATTTTAAGAGGAGTCAGAAGAATCATTACAGTTCAGGTAAAATTAAACCACTTTTCCTTTCTCTTGTTAGCTTGTCTGTTCTGCTAAAAAAGAAGTTATGAATATAAAGCAGATGTGATCATTCCTTCATTGGGCACGACGCAAGAGGCAGAGCTTTTACAAAAGGCATCATTATTCAGCCATAATGTCCAAATACAGCCCTATCTGTTGTATACATAATCATTCTGTACCCATTTCTGCTTTAGAAAACATTACACTAACACTATTTAGAAAACATTACACTAACACTATTAATAAATGACCAAAATGTCATTGTACAGTGTAGTTCTGAAAAGGACTTTAAATGAGCTAATGTGATGTATGAGTCACAATCACGGCCAGGACTGAATTAGGTCAAGCCCTAAATTGCCTGGTAATTTAGGATGGGTGTGATGTTGTCACCCGTAATTATATCAACTAAATCCTGTTTAGCTTATCCCTAGTTGTACCCAATTAATACTCACTGGCTGTTCTATATGCACAATTCAGGAGTCCAGTGTATACCAAACTGGCTACAATAAATCAAAGCCAACATGAGAACACTGCAACCACACACCAAATGTAACCAGCATCATTAATGGGGATGTAACAGCAAAACTTTGTCCTTTGTGTTGGATAGAGCGGTTAGATCTTTTGTCAAGTTTTTATTGCTGCCAATATCCCCACTGGAGAGATTCTCCATTGTATTAGTGCTGATAATCATTGTCACGGAGATGGAAAGAGGGGAAATCCAATATTTTAGAACTGAGAGGGTACAACTTTTCAGGTGAGCACCTTTCTAAAACGGAGGACACTTTTGGGAAGATTTCTTCAAACTTCCTCATGCATCTCCTCCCCAGCAGGGCACAGACAGCAAAAAATTTAAATATATATTTTGCTAAAATGTTAAAAATGTCCTCCCATCACATCAGAGTCTCCCAAGCACATCAACATTTCCCCAATCATAACATTTTCCTACCACAAAGACCCTCAACCACTCAGTCCCTTCTTCACATCAGAACCCTATCCTTTGGCTCTAGCAGCGAGGCAGAGGGCAACAGGTGGAGCAGATAGACTTCCATCCTTTGAGTGCTGGAGGGACCCTGCATGCCATCTGCTCTTGATCAATGTCCTATATTTCCAGGGTCCAGGAGGCCTGACGGCAACACCATGGCAAGGAATGACTCCTTGCATCCTGCCCTAGGCCTGGTGCTTGTGCCTGCACCATGGTAAATCATAACGCCGATTCAACTGGGTTCTTTTCTTACAGCACCCTGGGGAAACTCAAACAGCACCCCAGTTGTTGAACACTGATATATACACTTTAAAAAGGTTTAATGAATCCAGGTGCTGAAGATTATTATTATTATTATTATACAGTATTTATAAAGCGCCAATAGTTCGCTCAGCGCTGAAGATGGAACCCCACCTGAATTTACCCACCCTGATGAGATTTACCCAACATGTGAGTTTGATTAAAGATGTTGGGTAAAAACACATCATAGTGAGAAGATCAAGATAAGGCTTTAAATCTTATTGATGGTGCTGTGTACATGTGGTGTGCAGTTCCAATTTTTTTGTGTTGGGCTCTGCATTTGGGGAGCAGACACGTTCTCTATCACTATACCCGTGCCCGGTGGTAAGAGGTGTAAGCTGGTATTATGTTATACTGTCAATTGAAATTGGATTTGTTATGTTGCTCTACACGCTGCCACACCAAAATGATCAACTTTATGTTCTAAGCGGTCCTCAGGTTTGGTAAAGGCCATGCACATGCTTTGTTAGCCACCACAGGTACAGTACCTATCACTGGGGCGCTGGCACTTCTGTTGAAATCTTCAAAACAATTTCCAAAAGGAAGTAAAAGAAAAAAGGCAAGAGGAGAATTCAGAAACATTAAAGAAGAGGAAAGGATAGCAAATTAACAGCCAAGACCAGAAATGTGGAAAAAGGCAAGACCTGAGGACTTGTAAACAATATATTTATGGTTTCCTGACCAAAAGGCTTTGAGTGAATGTGATGGATGAAAGGTCAGATGGGCTCATGATGAAGAGGAAGAGACTTCAATGAACTGCATAGGTTGAGGTCTCATCCTAACACTGTGCAATGTCAATGGTACACTTCATTCACACTGCAGGGTGTTAGGCTGAGAACTAGCCAAAAACGTCTTTTTTGATATAGGGAGGGAATTGTTAAAACTCTTGCCAGTTTTTCTCATTTTTTTTTGGCCCATCAGGGAAACTTCCCTTCCTGTCTTGGAGGAACAAGGGAAGGAAGGGAGGGGGAAAGCCTTTTTGTAGACAGTTGTCAGCAGAACTAATGTTACCAGTGGAAGATTTCCCCCCACACTTCTGTTTTGGTAAGCCATACAATGTTGGATATCCCATCTCTTTTGAATGGGAAAGCTGACAGGAGTTTTAACCATTCCTCACACTATTCCATCCAAGTCCTGCAATACACCATTCTACAAGACACTGTCAAACATCTTTTGTCTTCTTGGCTAACACAATGGGGTTGGTTTACTAAAAGCAAATAAAGTGTTCACTTTGCTTGGAAATTTTCCCTCAGAACGGAATGTGGTGAAATTTCACTTTGCAAGGAATACCCAATCACATGCAAGCAAAACAAAAACAGCATTTTGCTTGAACATGTTTGGATTATGGAAGTCAGTAGAGCTTCACCTCATTCACCAAGCTCTGGGGAAAATTCACTTGCAAATGTGAAAGTTTCCCTTCAAAGGGAACAGACTATTTGCCTTCAGCAAATTAGCCCCAATGAATGATTGTATTTCTGTATATAGACACCATTCCTCATTACGGATTTCGCAAACTTAATAGAACAAAATGGTTTACCCTTTCAAATACCATTATTTAATACTCATATAATTGCATTAATTTTTCCAATGTATATATTAATTTTTCATATATTACACACACACACTTGCCAAAAGTATAGGGACGCCTGCCTTTATACGAACATGAACTTTAATGGCATCCCAGTCCTAGTCCATAGGCTTTAATATTGAGTTGGCCCACCCTGTGCTGCTATAACACAGCTTCAACTCTTCTAGGAAGGCTGTTCTCAAGGTTTAGGAGTGTGTCTATGGGAATGTTTGACCATTCTTCCAGAAGCTCATTTGTGAGGTCAGGCTCTGATGTTGGAGAAGGCCTGGCTCACAGTCTCCACTCTAATTCATCCCAAAGGTGTTCTATCAGGTTGAGGTCAGGACTCTGTGCAGGCCAGTCAAGTTCCTCCACCCCAAACTCACTCATCCATGTCTTTATGGATCTTGCTTTGTGCACTGGTGCGCAGTCATGTTGGAACAGGAAGGGGCCATCCGCAAACTGTTCCCACAAAGTTGGGAGCATGAAATTGTCCAAAATGTCTTGGTATGCTGATACCTTAAAAATTCCCTTCACTGGCACTAAGGGGCCAAGCCTAACTCCTGAAAAACAACCCCACACCAGAATCCCCCTCCACCATACTTTACACTTGGCACAATGCAGTCAGGCAAGCATCATTCTCCTGTCAATCGCTAAACCCAGACATGTCCATCGGATTGCCAGATAATCCAGTGATGGCATGCTTTACACCACTGCATCTGATGCTTTGCATTGCACTTGGTGATGTAAGGCTTGGATGCAGCTGCTCAGCCATGGAAACTCATTCCATGAAGCACTGTTGTGCTAATCTGAAGGCCACACCAAGTTTGGAGGTCTTTAGCTATTGAATCTGCAGACAGTTGGCGACTTCTGTACACTGTGCGCTTCAGCATTCGCTGACCCTGCTCTGTCATTTTACGTGGCCTACCACTTGGTGGCAGAGTCGCTGTTGTTCCCAGTTGCTTCCACTTTGTTACATTCCCACTAACAGTTGACCGTGGAATATTTAGCAGTAAGGAAATGTCACGGATGGACTTATTGCACAGGTGACAACCTATCACGGTACCACACTTGAATTCACTGAACTCCTGAGAGCGACCCATTCTTTCACAAATGTTTGTAGAAGCAGTCTGCATGCCTAGGTGCTTGATTTTATACACCTGTGGCCATGGAGGCGATTGGAACACCTGAATCCAATGATTTGGAGGGGGGGGTCCAATACTTTTGGCAATATGTTGTGTATGTATGTGTATACTGTATATACACACACACAGCATCAATAGCTTTACTATTATTTCACATACAATTAGTTAATGTACATACACACACACACACACACACACACACACACATACATATATACACTCACTCAATATCCTATCAATAGGTCTACAACATGATAATAGAAGATCAGATTTCTGACTTACATAAACTTTGTATTCCATTTGTTTCACTGTTTATGTGCAAAGCATTCTGGGATGCGGGTTTCCTGTAGCCGTCATGTGACCCATTTGGCGTGGCACGAGAGAGTTTCCCGGGCAAGGTCTGGTACCTGGGGTCCGCTTTACTCTGACATGAAATAAAACAGGAATGAATATGAGAGCATTTCCTATGCATTGCCAGTTCCCAATTTCAGATGACAGCAATGGGGCAACACCAGAAAAATCAGAAGAGGCTCAAAACCAAAGTTTTGTTACTTTGAAGATTGTAGAACAGGGATTGTTGGGATTCAGTCTTATTCAGTGAAGTAAAGGAAAATGCAATGTGCAAAATCTTTTTTGTGGACGTGAAGGACAACAGACATGATAACATCAAAAGAGAAGTTCTAATCCATCCTCATTCTATTGAAACAAAAAAAAAAAGGTTTTAGCTAAAACGCCAGGTAAATGGCTAAATACATTGATGAAAGTGCGGTTTTAGCTACCAAAGATTTGTATTTCTGTCCATCCAGTCCTGAGATTTACACAGCTCTGCTACACCACACAGCCCTTCTTGGCAGACCAGGAGATCTGATTTTTCTCTACTGCAGTTCAGTAACACATACAGTCCTCCTCAAGATGCCCACACTTACCGGAGAGTGAAAGGAAAAGCAGAAGACAGTTGAGCAGCTGCTGCAGCATGTTCCACCCATTTTTTTCAAGGGTGAACTTATCCTTTATGCTAGCCATACACAGCTCTATTTTCTCTCATTTAGTGAGCAGGCAGGAAAAAAAAACACAATTGATTTCACTGCCGGTTGTTGTACTTCGCAGTTGTGACACCCATGGTTACATGAATACCTGAACAAAGATTGCATCGGAGAGGATGCAGTCAAAAGAATGTAAATAACATTTTTGCAGTCCAGGCCTCCTGAACCCTATTCTGATCACAAGAAATCCTCAGCTGAAGTCCACTGGGAATCTGACACTTCTGGGAATGGCACTTCTTGGTCGTCTGCAGTGCTCACCGATTCCTCCTTCTGACCTCCAAGTCAGTACTGTATCCCATAATGGGTGGACCAAAGAAACCAGTAAACAGAGGACATCAACAGCATTGGTTTCCCAGCAGACCTCAGCAGAGAACATGAATGAATCAGCATTTTGGGACCAAGGGCAGCAGGAAAGTTAAAGTGGTTCTAAAGGTTCAAGGTTTACCACCTTAATGCACTCTATGCATGAAGGAAAAAAACCTCCTGGGTGCAGCTCCCCCCTACACTTACCTGGCCCCATCTCGATCCAGTGATGTGCATGAGAGTAGAGTCTCACTCGCCTCATCGGCTCACACAATGCACTGTATATACAAGTTTTGATGGATCCTGCTGCTGTCAATCACAGTAAGTGAGCATTGAGGAAAGAGCGGGGGCAGGGCAGCGAGTGTGTGTGAATAGACACACAGAGCGCGGCTCTGGAGCGAGCCTGCTTGAGTGCCCCATAGCAAGAGGCTTGCTATTGGGGGCACTTGGTAGAAGGAAGGAGCCAGGACCCCTGGTGTGTGACTCAAAGAGAAGAGAAACGGAACTGCTCTGTGCAAAACAATTGCACAGAGCAGGTAAGTATACCATGCTTGTTATTTAAAATAAATATTTTCTTTAGAATAACTTTAGATAATTTCTTTGGTATACACTTTCACTTTCTATGCCATTTTTGTTAATGGTTTAATTTAAAATATATTTTAAATAAAAGCATATCTGAATTAAATATTGATGTTTATATCAAGTTGAGCTTTAAAATATATAAACACTGAATTCTCCTGGTGGGTGCCTAAAACCACTAACAATCAGCAATTATTTTACCGCAAGATGTGAGCGTTTTAGTTCAGAAATGTCAATGTCACATTGAGAAACTTAGACAGTTGGTCAGAGAATGGCCATCATCTTTTTAGTCCAAAACAAAAAAAGCTGAACTCCAGGCTAAACATACATTATGTAAACTAGAAGAGCCATGGGTATGCTCACTTTAATTTTGGTTTCATTTAAGTATTTGCTCCAGATCTGTGCGGTAATCCAGGGTGAAGCAACTCCTCAACTTTGCCTCTGTAGAGGAGTTTACTATAACAAAGACTGGTTACTGCTGTTCTGTCCATTTTTGCAGGGTGACTGGTCTTGTATCCACCCCCTACCATAGTTTTCTGAAGGCAGTCTGTAGTGGGAGGAGCTTCTGGGCCCTGCTCTCGGCACAAGCTATGTACAGCATAGTGATGATTTCACTGCAATTTTACAAAGGATTATTGGGGTTTTCAAAAGGCATTTGGTGTACACAGTATATTCATATCCTTTGTGACTATTGACATATGTATTTCAAAGAATTCATTCCCGGGAGTTCAGCTTTATGTTAAAAAAGTACAAACAATCCAACAATGAATACAACATGACAAGGTTTCATAAAGTTAATATACCTCTGGAGTTACAACAGGTGTTACAACAGGCTCTGGGGTTTCCCCATCATCATGCTAGCCAAAGTCAAGGAAGAATGAAGAAAAAGTGACAAAAACAATCTGTTAGTACAATGTGCTGATAAAATATTGGTGAATGGTTAGATGATACACATATAACAGTCACCAGGGATGTCTTGGCACATCCCTATGTACTCCATGCCTGGATGCAATGACTTCAGTGGCATTCAATCCTTTTACTCCTTAAGACCTCAAGGACCACAAAGGGGATTAAAAAAGAAAATGGAAAATAAGCAATAACAATGGAAAAATTATTTAGATGGAAAATACGACCCAGGTTTTAGGACTGTTGGAGAAGAGGTAGCCTTCCTGTGCCAATATCTGGATTCTGTGTTCTGCTGACACAATCCAGTTATTACACAAAAATGTAAATTGATCCAAAGCTGGGTCCATGCATATCTATGACTGCATGTATGAATAAAGTTGCTGGAAAAGTGTCATGGTCAGGAGTCAAGCTCAGAGATCAGTAGCTATAGCAGTAGACAAGCAGGTCATCCCGGAGGAGATAATGGGCTTACCGGAGGCACAGGGTCTTAGCATCAACCGGTATTTACCAGAGCTCCCGATAGTGGAGATGGGTTTTTTGCTGCATGTTAGTACCAAGTTGCAGTCCTTAGAATCAGCCGGAAGATGAGTATTCCAGGTCCAGTAGCAGGTGGGGATCAAGCGGAAGCATAGTCGAGGAACAAGCCAAAGATCAGTAACATATGGAAGTGAATATGAGGACAGCTGCAGGTACTCAAAGGAACAAGATATTGGCTGGAAAGCACAATAATCTGACAAAAAAGAAGTGCAGAGGTATGACTTAAATCAGAAAGTTAGAGGAGCAACAAGTTCAAGGTTCACGAGAAACAAGAAATTTGATTGTCCTAAGAGATCAGGCAGGCAGAGTCCAACATCTTAGGTGGCTCAGCAAGAAGAGTTACTGGAAGACATAGAAGAGGTCCTGGATTCAGACACAGGTCCGGACACTAAACTAATTTAAAAATGTATTGATCAAAATCCAACAATGCACAAGTCTCCCCGAGAAATGTATCTGGAGTTTCCCCTGCAATTTAAGAGTCTACATTTCTTTACTGTCAACTTAAACCCCCAAAAGCCATACTGTAGCCAAAGCGTTTCTTCTGGGGCAACAGAATCACTCTTCATCAGAACTTAAAGCAAGTAGCAACAGTATAACCTGGACTCTACTTCTGTCCAACTGAGTCAATGGACGTGTAGTAAGGATGCTGGCTGCAGCTGGTCTTCTTGTAATTTAAGCATCATTGACAATAAATAATTGTGGACTCTTAAGACGAACGTTTGGTAATCCTTCATTCGTTTTCACTTAGGTTGCTCATTTTCGGTGACAACCCCCCCCCCCCCCCCCCCCCCCGCCGCCTTGTTGTGAAGCTGCCAAGGTCATTCTATCAAGTCTCAATGCCAACTTTCATTTGATAGGTAAAAGATCAGAGTCCAGTGCCTCACATCTACTTTTTCTTGGACCATCTGGTTCACCAATAGTCCCAACATGCCCTGAAGCAGTACCTAAACTGCCATACTATTCCAAACAAATTTTTCCATTGTATTGAGATTTGTTCTACACCACCAATAATTTAACATAATCAGCCATTATAGGCTGAAGAAAGGCTGACGGTAGTGTCCACAAATGGGATTACTGGATAAGAGGTCTGCTGTGTGTGGCCTAAAGTCTCTCCCCTTAATCCCTGCCACATATCTAAAAAAAGCGCTTGATATACATAGATCTTTGTACATGTTTAGTAGCATTAGATCTTTATAATATTCCAGAAGGGAAACTGTTAAAATGCATAGGTGCTTGAGGTCAAGAGTAAAAGGATTACAATAATTCCACATATCTATTAGCTACATTTTTAGTAATAATAATAATGAAGACATGGTAACATGCTGCTAGTGTCACATAAGACATAAATATGATTCTCCATATCCCAACACAAAACAATGACAGACAATAGTGACTGACTTTGTAAACTGTAATGGTGAGCAAATCAGGGGGAACTGAAAACTCAAATGAATTTACACAATTGCAAATTTGTGAAATCTGCACATTCTTCATACAAATCATAACTGCATCATTTCCTGATTTGCACGATTCTCTGTAAATCAGCACCGAAATATTCAAGCAAATCAACCATTTGATGGCCAGTTTAAGAAAATGACTTTAGGTTATCATTTCAGTTGTGTGCAGAAGGCTTTGCAGACTCTGATGCCCAGAATAAAGCAGACCTGTGCTTTAATCATGTAGGGCAATGCAACAGGTTCACACTGAGGTAAACCTAGCTAGGCTATGGACAAAAGTATTTACGTATTTTTATATGCAGCAACTGAACTGTAAAGCAAGCTGTAAATGGTCAAATGGCAAATTTTGAAACTTTAAACCTGGAATTTGGCTTTAAAAGAAGCCCTCAATGGCCTAAGTAGCTGCAGTCACTAGGGAGCAATTCATCCTCAAAATTCACAGAAGATGCACTGAACTCATTCCAAGTCCTTTTCACCGCAGCTCAGCTACCCTGCTTCTTGTCTACCAGGCACCTGGGTCCATTTACATTGGAGATTAGAAAGCTGATAGCATGCAGAGACACTGCTGGGAGGAAGATCATAGTGAGTGCACTGCTGAATCA